ACCACGAGGATAAAGCGCGCTTCTGCCCTCCCAACGGCCATGGCCGTTGCCGATCCGTACCCCAATCCGAATCCGAATCCGGCGGAGCTTTCGGAAGCCTCGGGCGAGGATGATAAGTGTTGCTATGTAGGGACTATCTGGTATGTACTGTACCTAATGTCTACTTCGAATGGGTAGATACATGGTTGGCTTGCTGGTTTGCTGGTCTGCTGGTTTACTGGTTGGTTGGGCATAAGAAAACTGACTTGATTGAAAATAGTGTTACATGTAATCCTCCTCCCGAGTGAACTGATTTGATTGGTGGTGTACTCCGGAGTATCGGAGTATTTATTTCTACGAATGGTAGTGGCGATGTTGGCAATCGATAATGTCCTTGGTCCTTCGTTGATGATTTATCAATCAGTTGTTGCTTTGTTCGATGAAGATGGTCGTGCCAGACAACAAACAAACAGACTTTCTGCAGACAAAGCACTACAGTATCATATCATTCGTTAATACCTTGCACATTTACTAAACATGTCTATCTAGTTACCTATCTATCAAAAATCTATGGGCACGCCGTCAATGGCCCTTCCCGTTCTAGTTGGTGAGCAGCGCTGCCCTGAGCTCACCCTCTCATCTGCATTGGCCTCACTGAAGCACTAGTCTCACATTCTCCACACCATAGTTTCTCATTGGCAGTTTGCTTGCACCTTAGATAGGCAAGGTATTTGCCTCTTATTGGTGTATGGAGTAGAGGTAGTTGCACAAGCCTTATTGTTGCTGGCTTAACGCCGCCACTTAGGTAATTGTGGTGCTAGATGGAAAAAGCTATGAAGCCTACTCCGTACACAGGCTATCATACTTCGTACAGTGGTTGCAATAAGTATTCGCACCCCCCTGGTATCTTAGGGTTAGTCTACCCGCCAAGGGTACCAGGGCAGAGTGGCATTGCGACTTGGATGAGTATTCTAAGTGCCTGGTTGAGTTGTGTCTTAGTTGACCCTGCACATAGAATGACTATCTTCATCCTTTTTTCCTTTACCCTGGTGGCTACGGGACTTCTCACTCTAATAAAGTCTGTAGTCAGGGCGCAAACAATCATATCTGGACAGGATGGCCGAGTGGTTAAGGCGCAGGCCTGCTACTAACCTACAAATTAAGACTGTGGGTTCCACAAATAGTAAGCCTGTGGGTTCGCCCGCGTGGGTTCGAATCCCACTCCTGTCGTCCCTTTTTCTCTTCTCCTTCCTATTTAATCTTTTTTTTTTCTCTCACACACATGATGACTATTAAGAGATTGATAAATTCTCGGTATAATAAACTATCATTTCTGTTGTGATATGAAGCGTGCAATGTTCGGCATAGTCAGGTTATTAGTCCTGCGAAAGCGTCATCGATACCTGCAGGATGCGCGCTTATGAGAGGTTCGTAGTCAATGGAGCAAATATATATTGTTACAGCTCAAATGATTCCAACATTAATTTATGTGGCACTCTATTTGAGAATTCGAACACAAGCAGAGGAAGATGATGATGAGCAAAAGTCTAGATGCGCGAGTCGTGCTACATTGGCCTCATTCCTCATCTCAGAATCCTCCTCTTATCCATTTATCTAGGCGATGTTCAGGAAGTTCCGAATAGCTCCATGATAACTCCATTACTGTCGGATGACGAGGTTATAAGGAGACCTCTATCACCACCACATCCCTTCGCCGAAGGTGTGGTAGAGCGTGTTAGAGTAGTAGGGCATGCATAGCGATATAGCTCATAGCTAGTAGCTACGGAATTCGGCAGACGAAGATATCCGAGACTGGCCAGATACCCGAATTATGCAGCAAAACTCTCAACTGTGTTTTCGCAATCTACCATTCAAAAAGCTGACGAAGGAGTAATGCCAAAAAGCGCTACAGGACGCCGGTATTGCCATCCAGAATTACAGAAAAGCTCGGAGTGCTTTCAGTGCAGGGACCCAAATCTCCCTGAGGGAACAGAGCCCATGGATTTTGGCTTGTGGAAAAAAGTGAAGAAGAAGATGCTTGGATTTCTATGATCTGAGGATTTCTCTATCGTACAGAAGGTGGAAAGTGTAGGCCCTGCGGGAGGCTTTAAGCGAGGCGCTAGTACGGATCAGGAAAGGCGGCAGTTACCGCAGAAATTTACCTCCAACACCCCCTCATAAAATCAAAGATCCCACTGCCTAGCCTTTGACACTCCAAACCCGATAGCCTGGCCAGTTCAGTAAGGTTGACAACGAGTGCGAACTCGAAAGCGTTCTCGACCGGTTTTACATACCATCTCGCAGTTCCAAGGAAAAAGCAAAGGATTTGGTACATATGGATGGATCAAGATGATGTCAGATTGTTGTAAAGACTAAGTGGCTGCGGCTACTTTACACGTGAAGGGTCTTTCATGCTTTCATACTCTGTATCTGGTTTTGGGACCCAGAGAAGCTGCCGGAAGACTGTCTTTATTAGGTTTTCAGCTTAAGTATGCCCATTTTTCCCTAGAAGTAGACCTCACTAGATTAATCAACTTTGATACTCTTTGCGGTCTCAATCATTTTCTCCTATGCCACATCCACGGATCAACCCCGCCGTCACACTTCCCCTGACATGAAAGGGATTGGACAGTTGCCACCTTTTAGATTTCGCTTCACGCTGAGAAGAAAAAAGATGAAAATAAAAAGGGAAAAAAAAAAGAAACCAACGACAGGAGTGGGATTCGAACCCACGCGGGCGAACCCACAGGCTTACTATTCGTGAAACCCAGAGTTTATTTGTGGATTACCTAGGTAATAGCAGGCCTGCGCCTTAACCACTCGGCCATCCTGTCTAATTGGTGTTGGCTCTATTCAGTAATATTTTCTAGATTTAGAGAAAAATAAGAGAATAAAAAATGAAAAACAAAAACATACAACAGGATTTGTATGTTGGTGCTTACCAGCCACTATTAGAGAGGTTTTGCAAAGTTGAGAGGAACCTCAACTTTCTGCCAGACAAACGAATCAGGTTAGTGTGTACTAACCACTTATGTACTGGCATGTAAATCACATGATGTAATATGTGAATCACATGACATAATATACTAACTAACCTTTTATAGTTAGATTGTCACGTGATCCAGCAAGAAAATTAAATAATAATTTTAAGAGAGATAGATCTTAAAAAAGGTTAACTTATTTTACATAAGGAGGTTTTATTTGGCATGCACAGTCTTATAGAAATTTGTATTATGTAGTGTTAAAGTCATAAATATTTATAATGTCAATAATATAACCTCTGTCATTAGCTGGAACAACTTGTAGTGGCAGCTTGGAGGCAAACTTGTCAAACGTCCAGATCCAACCCACCTCCAGATCCTATCCCGCAATTACGGAGTATTATATATCATCCGCTTGTCACATCTACTCTGCAGTTGCTCTTTGCTTCATGTATCTTTACGATAAACTTGGATGACATTACGCCTTCTGAGATTACCTTTAAACAAAAAATTGGCCAGCGCACGTTTCTCTGTGATACTTCCGGTCGTTATTCAGAATCCAGCACGTGTCATGAAAGTGGTATGGTTGTCAATCTAAGAGTTTCTTTGCCTCCGATACTAAACTCAAGATACAGAATGGCATCTACTCTTGTCGCAGATAAGCTGATTGAATATCCTTTTTTTGGCGATATTTACCAACTCCTTGGAGATACTCGATATGATCTAGACGCTGCTTCCTGTGAAGAAAGATGTCCATGGCACTCAGAGCTCCATAGACATGTGAGATCTGTTTGGTTCAGAAGCTGACCTCTTTCGCTTCAGTGGCAATTTCTACATAACAGTAAGTTTCAGTGTCTAGATGCTCTCTGTGGTGCTATTTGCACGTCCATATATATAAAAGCACTCAACAAGGCTACTTACTATCCAGTCTATTTGCGAGTCCTCATTTTAAACTATAGATAGTGACAATCTTGTAATCTATCTACGTTTACCAGCATCCCAAGCAAATCGTAAGACGCAATAGTGCTCAGCAGGCTGGCAAGTAAGTAAGAGGTCATCATATTCATGCTTGTCAGCTTGAGGTAAGGTAAAGATACCTATCTGCAGCTGGATCGAGTGTTATCATCACAGATATTACGTCCTCGAGTCCTTGATCGGATCCTCCGAGAGGAGAAATACTCCATTCCCTTCCCGAAAAGGAAATGACAAGATCATCACAAACGAAAACATCGACAATGGGTGTCGTCTCTCCCCAGCAGTTCCCCCGAGATTTTTTGTGTTGTGTTAGATTAAATGGTGATTTCTTTTTCTTTTTCTCTGGACTACGAATATGTGAATAGCTATAGCTAGTAGCAGCTGGATTGTCCATGCTAGACAGATGCAGTTACAACCTGTCGAGACCTGCCTGCTTGCCGACATTCATTTTGCTGTATGGCTCTGTTACCACATACGGAGTACAAACTCTGCTGCAGAGGAAGCGAGCTGGAAGAACTGAGTTGAGCCGTCCATATCCGATGTGCAGGTGAGCGGATGCGCATGCCTGGTCCCTCGTAGTCAGATCCCGTACACTTCAAGCCTTACAGCCTCGACGTCTGGAGACATCGACCGAGATACGATCTTATTTGCAGATAGCTGGGTAGGACAATAACTACCTACGCATATCCATACTTCGATTCATTACACGGGCTCATTACCTATGCAGAATTTTCGAACATGGTCAATTGCATGTCATGCATCATTCTGATAATAATAATGATAAACTAAGCCACTCTCGTAATAATAAACCGAATTAAAACATAAACCAGTCATGACTAAGAGTGATTAGCCACCCAACTAGGACAGACCCGCTTGAGAAACTTCATAAACTTGAAAAATCCCACCGCGTACTCGACATTCCCGTACGGATCGACCACCCGTTCCGGAAACGCAATGCCCGCTCCGTACAGACCCGGGATGACCTGCCGGTCCTGGTCGTAGAATCCGCCCGAGACGTGGTCGAACTCGGGCGTCAGAGGCGCGCCGTTTCGCGTGAGCTTCGGCAACGGATCCCGAGTGAACCCTACGGCGTAGACGATATGCGTGCAGGCAGGTAGATGAGTCTCGTACGCGCTCGCCTCCTTCCCACCGCTGCAGTCGATCTTCTCGATGAAGCGGCCCGCCTCTGAACTTGGCAGCCGGCTATCCTCGAGCTGCTCCCTGGCGAATTGAGCCGCCAGACCCTTGAGACCGGTGTTGTCCCGCAGGATCCAGCCATCCATGTACTCGGCATACCGAAGCGGATGCCGGGTGAACCACTTCACTCGCAGCTTGGGGTGTGTCGTGCGAGCAAGATCCACAAAGTTCATCAAGGCTAAGATGGCACTGTGCGAGCCTCCGACCACGGCAACGGTCACCGGCTCTGCGGTGGGAATGACGCGGTACAGGTCACTGGGCTTCAAAACGATGTCGAGGTCCAGCCTCTCGATAGGTAGCCCGGGAATGGGAAGGGGAAGAACGGTTGGGGACGAGCCGGTGCAGAGAATGAGCCGGGGAGCAACGACTTCAACGTCTTCCCGAGACTCTTTCCTGATGCGAACTATCCATCCGGATGACTGCACTGTGTAAGCAACTGAATGACAACCTGAGCAGAATCTACCCTCGAGCATACTTTGTCCCTGAGATCAGCCCCGATCACCGTCCCCCGATACTGATAAACCTGGTCCATTTTGACCAGTCCATCCGTCAGGGCGCGGCACATGTCTACAGCATAGTGCAGAGAGCAGGTCTCGTTCTGCTCGAGCTTGGTCATTACGGAGAAAGCGTTGGGCGTGGGCGTGCTTCGAATGACATTGCGGAACGGCTGTACCGCGGTGGCAAAGGCTTGAAAAAATGATACTTTGGTGTTACTGGTGACATCAGCATGGAGTCCAAACGTTGCTCAATTCATTCCATCGTTCGCATTTCACGATGCTCTCGCGGATCGAACCGGGCTCGCCAGGGAGTCCTGAATGCCAGCAAGCGTACCTGGGAACCTCACGATATTTCCTATTCACCCGTCCGCCATCGAAATATGGGTCAACCCAGGCAATCCTGCCTACGTGTTGTTCCAGCAGGTTTCCCACGACGGCGATGCCAGCCGGGCCGGCTCCCACGACGACAGCGGCACATCTCTGAGGATTCATGCTGACGAGTCGGAATCAGAGAGCCAAAGAATCGAAAGACAAGAGCAAAAATGGATGGAAGTAGCCAAAAAAAATGTCAATTTATTGGGTATCTATATCACACGCTGGAGATGGCATATCTGGCACAAAGACAAAGGCAGAAACAGTCGGCGCTGAGAAAGGCGGAGAGGCTTCGCAGATAAGGAACCGGGGGACCCCGTCTTCCCGTCGTTCCTCCCCAACTGAACGGCCACTCTCACTGTCGGTGTGCGTGTCTTGTCACACTAGCAACAGCAGCGTCCACGAGCCACGCCAGAGCGTGCGTGTCTCAGTCGTCGACTCGTCGTCCTCGGCCGCCGGCTCTTCTCCGCTGCAACGGCATCGCGATCTCGTCCGACCGATCAACCAAACATTCATCGGAATCATCTGCACCGCGAGCAATCGCCACCGCGCGTTGTCTCATCGTTGCGTTGCGTACGCAGCCGTGCCCCACCGGGCCAAGGCGACCCAAGAGCCGGGCATGGCCTCCCACAGCTACAAGGCGTCGCAGGGCCTCGTCACTGCGCGTCGCCGCGGGTTAGAAGCGGAATTCGTCGCCTCGACTTGCTTATGTCAGCAGTCGTCCGGTCATGTGGTCCGGGCCGCGGAAAGCATCGAAAAACATCGTCTCTGCTGCACAACCCGCCCAGGGGGGCTGTAGGTTGCACAGGTCAGTCTCAGCGGTCGCAAATGGTCGATAATGGCGTTATCGCGGTCTTCTGGTCGCAACAGGCACCCTGCTCGTGCTGGAGGGATATCGTGGAAGACTCCTTCTTTATAGCCCTGCGATGCCGTAGCGCTTTTTAGCGCCGGACCAGCGATTGCGTGATTTGCGCTAGCGATGGCGCAACCGCTGGTGCCTGAATGGTCAGGTGTCGTCAGGCTCACTCTGATTACAGAAGGTCAAGCAGCTGTTGCCAATGTAGATATCTGCTCTGATGGCCATGTATTTGCTGACTGAAATGTGCAGCAAAATCAGTTTCGTATCGGAATAAGTTCTCTTGTTCCATGAGTACAGTCGCTGTTACCTCATACAGGTTCTCTGACATATAGGTCACTCGACTGTATTACCTTCTCCCTTACTTAGGGTTTGCTGCTTCAGCAATTGGACCTCGACTTGGAACGAGTTCTGCAGGATCTAAGGCTTACCCAGCCCCAATCCTCTCTCAAATTCCTCCTGATATATTCGACAGAATTAACAGGAATGATGCTGTGGTTGATATTCGTTGCTTCTTGTATACAAGTTGCATGCTTACTTTAGGATTATCTCATGTATTCTATACAACAAACAAACCGAGTGGTATCACTACGTGCACATCATTCACACACCGGGATCATGAAAGGAAAGAAGCGATGCAAGGCAAAGTCAAGTAAATCTGTCTGCGAGCAGAGCGCTCCGTTAAACAGCCCAAAAGACTCGGACAGACATCTTCTCGACGTGATTCGACCACCCCCAGAACCGCGCTCGTGCCCACAAAGACACCGCATCCCCGACTCGCATCTCCCGGACCGCTCGACCGTCTAGCGTCGCTCGTCCGCGCCCTTGTTCGTCTTCAATCCTCTCCGCTTCGCTGGACTCGGGGTCGATGCGATCCTTGTAGTGCCAGACGATGCAGTAGTCCTGGGTGGTCCTGGTAGCAGTGAGATTCGACTGTAATCTGCTGGGCGTGGGCAGAAGTGGGCGTTCTGGCTGGAAGGACGCCTGAGATGCCTGATTTGTTTGCTCTTGAGAGTTCGTAGCGCTCTGCTGATTATGAGCAGGTTGTCCCTGCTGTCCGTCGTTGCTAGACGGGATAATATACGCGTCGAACCAGGTGTATGATCCCTTGTAGGTACCCTGACAACCGCGCTCCCCGCCCCAGCCCTGGTCGTGGGAGGAGATGGAGAAGACGATTTTGCGACAGGGATGGATGCCCCGGTGGGGAAGGACTCTGTAAGAGCCGTCGTTCTAAAGCAGCATCAGTAAACGTCTCGCAAAGTGGCTATCAGAGCATATGCAGCGAGATCCAAGACCACCCACCTGTCCATCCACATCATAACACAACGGCGGCGTCCGCAAACACTCGCGGTCATTATCCTTCCCAATGAAAAGGGGAGCATCGCGGAGACTCGTCTCCACGGACGGCCAGTACTCGGCCTCGTCGACAATCAGGTCGACCACTTCGGTGGGCAGGCCCGGTCCCAGCCGTTGCAGGAGCTTTCGCACTTGCTGAACGTCATCCACGCTGGGGTAGAAAGTGCCGGAACTGGTGAATAGGCGACCCAAAGGAGAGGAGGAGATGGTGTTGCTGACAGCCTCTGGCAGCGGCCAGCGCCCTGGCCTGAAGAGGCGATGCATGTCGTGTAATTTAAAAAAAAAAGAAAAGTCTCAGGAGAACGATGGACAGTCGATCGACTGCCCTAAGATGAGCTAAGCTGTATTGCAGATGAGGTGTGCGTACTGGACCTGTCTGGGCTCCAGCAGCAGCTTGTGCGGCAAAGGTATCCAAGATCCAGTAGCAGCACTGCAGCACAACAACAAGATTGCACGTCTAGTCCACAAGTTAGCAGACAATGCAGCACGCCCCATAGCAGGTTGAGATAAGGACATACCCAAGGAGAGATCCAGGAACCAATCGATAACCTAATTAGGTAAGTAGATAGATAGCACGACCTAGCACATATGTATTATTCCAACTAGTCAAACGCTGCAGCGAGTCTATCCGATCATACTCTAGATCTATGCCAGATACCCCGAGAGCATCGAAACCAGCTGAATAAGATAATAAGGGAACTCTGACAAGGTAAGGCCTCTATCTCCTAGATCATTATTTAGCAGGCTAGGCTCCACAGATAAATGAATCTTCTGGCATAAATGCTCAAGAAATCTGGGGTAAGTTTGGAGGGCTGAGGAGATGAGATGCGGATGGATCGAAGCAATCAATGACGTCGGTGTGTCCACTCGCCTGCCAAGCAAACGGTAAAGCCCCAAGGCGGAATGCCCCCACAAATTAAATGAATCTAAAAACGAAGCCCCAATCAATTCGGAACCAAAAGAGGAGCTTCAATACGTGATACTGCAATGAGCGATCGGTTCTGAATTTTATTTTGATTAATTAATTCCTTTGCGAAAAAAAAGGAATGGATGAATGGAATGAGCAGCTTTAACATCCACTCACACTACCTACATGTATTGATCCACGTAGACTCTGTACATGTATTAAATATTAAATAAACGTGGGTAACGCTTCTCTAACCTATCTACAATGAACTTCCATGTGTACAAACAATCATATCATCGGTAGACCATAACTCGGGGTCCCCTCCAGGGTGACCTTCAGTTCATGCTAGTGCATACATGTCATCTATAGTCTATACTCTGTAATTCATGTAGTCACCAATGGCTTTTCCAAACCCCATTCATTAGATACTGTACCATATTTATTACCCGATCTGGTAATTGACTGCATGCATGTATGTACTGTACTGGCGCAGCCTCAATCAATATAAAATAAAATATATTATAATATCATTAGCTAACTACTCTAATTTATACTCTGCAAGTACATGATTTTTTTTTCCCTTATTGTTGGTAGTACGAGACTTAAGTAAATCATTGTAACAAACTGGTCTTTTTATCCACATGGCATCATGACCCCTAGTAGGGGAAGGGGGATGAGCATGCTAATAATATAAATATAATGCAACAAAACAAAATAGTTTTTACCACGACTCGCGGGGTTCGTCGTATTAGTGCTGATATGCGAGCAGGGCCATTTATTACATGGCTGTACAGTACAACCGGCATAGGCACATATTTAATATCCGATCCCACAGTACAGTTCGTGACTATTTATTAATTGTCAACGGATATCCTGCCTACTAGGGCAATGCTACAACACAGATACAAAGTTTACTCGCACACTCAAGTTTCAACCTAGCGGATTGATCATTTATTTAGCCTTTCGAGGCTTTCCGCCTGCTGCCCGGAATGCCGCCGCACGCCGAGTGCTTCGGTTCTTGGGCTTCTTCCCCTTCGCTCCCCGGCTCTTGGTCTTCACCTTCAGTCGGGGTCCGTCCTCGGTAGCTCGCGTTCCTTCAAACACCAACGGCTTGGCGTTGTCTGTCTCTTTCAATTTCGCGGCTCCCGCCCTGCCAAGCAGCTTTCCGGCCCGGCCATGGAGCGTACTCTGCGCACTGTCAAGTTCCCCAGCCTTACCACTCTTCTCAGCCTCACGCTTCTTCTTGACCTTCTTGGCGCGGACCACACGAAGCTTGCGGGGCAGCATCGGAGGGAATTTCTTCCCATCCAGCAACAGAGCTTCCTCCACGCAGTTGGGGTCGTAGAACTGCACGTAGGCAAATCCCTTTCCCACCCGGGTTGCGCGATCCCGCACCACCCGAACATACTCGACGTTCCCTCTGTCCGTGGCTGGCTTCCCTCCCGCCGAAGTGTGCTCGTTGAAAGTGCGCCAAAGACCCTCTTCAACGTCCGCAGGAGTGCGCTTCTTCTTCTTCTTCTTCTTCTTCTTCTTGGGAGTATCCTCATCCTCGGAGTCGGATACATCAGTCTCCTGGTCGACAAAGTCCAGATTACCCACAAAGACGCACCGCTTGTGGTCTACAGGCGCCGGATGCGCGACACTGTCAACTCGCAAGTGTCGATCGAGTACGACGGTCCCGTTCAGCGCAGCGGGGGCCTTCTGGGCTGCCAGGGTTGTGGAATAGACAACGTAGGCATTAGTGCTCGGCGTGGTAGCGTCCATAAGCTCTTTGTGCGCATATGCTGCGCGCTTGGGAACACCCGGCTTCGTAGAATAGGCGGTTGAACGGAACCGAATCGACTCGATCTTATGAGGGCGGTCCGCTTCAGGTAGGGTGGACAAGAACGACGAGAGGTGCCTCAGCAGAGTCTTCTTTGCCGACTTGGATTTGATGGCGAGGTTCGAAACGTTGCCAAGGAAGACGGTGCGATTGGCCTTTTCGATCTCCGCGGCTTCCCGCTCCCCCGACAATGTCTCGTGAACTGGTGGAGGGCCATCGTCGTCGTCACTTTCCGAAGCTTGGTCTCCGTCTTCGTCTGCAGAAGCCTCGCTATCGCTTGCTTTCCCTTCGAGCTTGCGTTTCTTGGCCTTCTCTGCGCGACGCTTCTCCGCCTCTTTGAGCTCTTCGCGTGCGATCCGTTGCAAATAACTGCCCTCCAGATTATCTGCCGTAGCGCCTCTCTTGCGTTTCCTGCTTGGTGCATCCTGAGCAACCTGGGCTTTCTGAGAGTCATCACGCTCCCCGTTGCTCTCATCGGGGACGTCTTGCATCTCCTCGTCGCTGTCCGTAGACTCGTCTTGTTGTGATTTGTCGCTGTCATCTGAGGACTCGTCTTCCTTGTCGCCTCCATCTTCCTCTTTGCTCTTTGGTTCCAAGGCCCCTGACATGGCAGGTTGTGTAGAATACCGCACGGACGGAGCCTTGACTGGGCCAGCCTGCACAAAGAGAGAGATCAGTCAATGTCCACCACCAGAGTTATAGAAAGTGTCAATTCACAACGGCCATTGGCTCAACATACACTCTTCTCAAACAGCGACGCCAATGATGGATTGATGGGCGCGTCTCCGGAGAGGAATGGCAGCTGGCTTGTCGATTTGGCAGCCTCATTATTGGCTTCTGTAGCTTTCCCGGTGTCGTCCCCCTTGTCAGATTTGGTCTTGTGTTTCTTGCCCATTTTGCCGTATCGAGCCTGATCGGCAATTCACGGGCAGCAGACGATGTATCAGGCCAGACAGATAATTCGAATCGTGGCTGGACTGAAGGATTCATGAAGCGTCTGCGCCGCCCATCAGCCAATTTTTTTGGTGCAGAAAAGCATCCGCGGTCTTGGCGTCTGGAGCTCCGATATCACCACGTGATTCAACTGATAAGCAGCGATAGGGAGCCGCAGCCTCGTCCACTCAAACTCGTACAAGAAAGCAACAGGCTTCCTCGCGGGAACTGTGTGCTCCAATGGCAGCGCATGTATACTCTGCGTGCCCTTCAGAATACGTCCTGAGGGTGTAGGGTGACCCATGTAGACCATAGACCAATACACGGACTCAGGTCTCTGTTGGAGCTGTCCATCCTGGCGGAGACCGGCATGGCGGAAAAAAATTCCTTCTCTCTGCCAGGGCATACCGCTGCCTTTTATGCTGCGATGCGAGGTTGACAATTACCAGTTACTTGTATTACATCCGGAAATAGAAGGGTTCTCCTGTATAGTGGACGTTGACTATCTTTGCCTGGAGTATCTGTTGCTGCTGTCGGGATACGACGTCAGCGCCGCCGCAGCACGGGCGACGCCGCATCCGGGGCATGACTCCAGGCCTCACGTGACATTTTCCGTGTCGGACCGGAGGAAGATCGGGCTGGCTGCAAAGCGAGAGCGGTGAGCTGCTGCTGGCTGCTGATAGGCCAGATGGCACGCGCGCTGCCGGCCAAGCGAATCACAGGCCGCGCTCGTCACAAACAGGGCCGTAAGGACGGGCAGAAAAACAGAGCGAGCCCGACCGCCCACCCAGCCAGCCTGCAGCCCGGCCAGCGTGCTGCTCTCGCCCAGGAACCGCTCGCTCGCCAGGCCTGTTGTCCGTCACCTGCTCCTCCTCCGCCGCCAGAACACCCCCCAGCAACATCGCCCAGACACGCAGATCGACTGTCTGCTCTGGTGATCCTGCTTGTCCTGAACCCCTCCATATCCATCTCTGGCGTCCTGTATTTCGCACTTTGCTCTGCGGCTCTCCCCTTGGTCGCTCCGCCTGCGGGAGCTCCCTCGACTTGCGATCTCCAATGCTCCCCGTTCTTCTGCGACCTGACGCTGTCGTGCTGCCGACCCCGTGAACTCCCTCCACCGTTGGCGTCGCACATCGAAGCCCTCCTCGCTGATACAATCCCATATCGCTGGCGGTGCTTGTGTCGCCTGCTTGCTGTTCTCTCAGCCCTCGTGCCGGCGGGGGGATGCTGGTGGTGTGATCGTCCCTCTCAGGATCCGTCGCGAAGGAGAGAGGTGCCGGTCAAATCAGCCATCACCCACGGCGCATTGCGGAACGGTACGTCTGTCCATATACTGTCATCTCCCAAATCCTGTTCGTCACGGGATTGCGTCTCTGCTGGCATCGTAGCCTCGCGGGAGAGCCCACGGGCAAAAAATTCTGGTGCAGCTCGTTGGCCAAAGGCTTCTCCAAGTGGTGGAGATGGAAGCAATCCCACGCCATTTTTGTGTCATTGATCCTTCGTCATGCTGAACAGCTTCTCCTTGACCCGATGAGCTTCGACTAGTTGTTTCCGCTTCCAGGATTTTTCTAACGGCGTCTTTGTCGCTAGGCTTTGAACCCGGCGTCCGCTCGTACATCCGACCCTCCCGTGTTCCCTCCTCATCTCTTGTCCCCACAGATCCCTCTAGAGTTGCATCTTGCAGTACCGTAAACCATTCTTCCTTCCTCCATATCACCAGTGAGAAGCGACCATACTCGAGTTCGGATGGAGGCTACCGAGAGCAACGAGTCAGCCCCAGCCGGGCCTGCCGCGACGGTTGACTCGGCTGTCTCCAATGGCGAGTCGAATATTCTCCTTGATAACGCTTTGGGCGACGATGGCCGTTCCAGCAGCCTGAGCGAAATTGATGACGTCTCAGACCATGAGCTGTCCGATGACGAGTCTCTGAAGCCGGAAAGAGGACCGGCGGAGATCGACTCGGAGGCCGAGACGGAACGGATCGAGGATTCCCCCCACAACGATCGCACCAGTATCGTCGTGACTGCGAGGCGTTTTGAAGCCAGTCCCAGCAAACTCGCTCAGTCGACCACGTATGATGACATTGAGGATGAAGAAGAACATGACGTGGACGAGACCCCCAGCAAGGCGCGACGGTCCTCCAAGAATAATGGTTTGGCGGAAGAGGCAGATGAACCGCTTGCGCCCGAAGATTCTGAAAAGTTACCGTCGCCGCCAGATGTTGCAGGCAAGAAGCGCAAACGTCTGCCGTCTGGGGATGACCTCGGAACGGAGCCAGGTGATGGGGAGCCCTTGCGGAAACGCAGAGGTTCAGTCAAGAGCGACATTGGCGAAGAAGTCCCAGCGGAGGTCCCTCTGTCGCGTGAGGCAACAGAAGACGTGACAAAACTCACTGAGACATCCCACAATGGGACACCTGCAGATGACACACAAGACCTATATGTACCAGCTGCCCCAACACGAGCCAAGAAAGGCAAGAAGGGCAAGCGAAAAGGGAAGAAGGTCAAGGAAGTGGATGAGGAAACAGAGAATGGGGGTGCAGTTGATGCGGGAACTGAAGGCGCCGCAGAGGACCAGCTCCACGACGATGAGGACGCAGGTGAGGTGGCAGAGGAAGGTGAAGACGCCGATGCTGCCGCCAAGTCTGAAGAAGAGTGTAAGTGTTTATCATGCAGTTTGTTCCCTTGCGGGTCACTAACACATGGCAGTGGCCAAGAAGATCGCTGCCATGGAGGCGCTGGCTGTCCTAGAAAAGGAATTTGCAACCTTGCGTGACAAGTAAGTATTGATTGATCTACCACGGGCATCCAGCATGCAGTTGCTTACTCTGGACAGAATCTACGACGAGAGGATTGCAAAACTGGATCGAGAACTGGAACAGCTCACCGGCCCTGAACCCACACACCCAGAGTATCTTCGCCAACTTGAATGTGTGCGGCGTTACCGTGATGCAAAGATCAAATACGAGCAGAACTTGTTCCGGTATCGCCTTCAGTCTCTTCTGAATAAAAGTCTGGCCGAGCGTGCCCAAATTCACAGCACCTACTTCCAGCGGATCCGGGATGCCCGCGAGAAGCATTCCTCCGCTGTGAGCAAGCAGTTCTATGCGATCCAGCATGATCGCTTTAAAACTGAAGACTTTAGCCCCCATCATTACATCCCCTTTCCCACCAGACGGTCGCAGCAAATCGCCCAGCAGCAAGCATACAATCAAGAGGTTTCCATCATGTCCGGAGTCGCCAAGTATGTGGGGTTCCCGGCGGCGCCGCCGTTGGAGGGTGCCCGGCCATCGGAAATCGAAGAGGATCTGGAGAAGATGGGGGTAAGTTTGTGCTTTGAGATCGCAAGAGATGGGAGGAGCTGACGCAAGGCTGTTGCAGATCTCATTAGATAATAACCGACCTTCTATCGGGACTAGTTCTGGGATTTCGCGGGGTGGCATGTCGTCGGGGCTGCCTCGCAACACCGCCGACGAAGCATTTCTAGAGCAAAACCCATGGGCCAATCCGCAATATGCGCTTCATCATCAACAGACACACCGCCAGCCGAGTGGGACCTCCAATCCGGCCTCGTTCACGACTCCAGCAGCGCAGAAACGGGTGGTCGACATTAATGCTCCCAACGGGTCTGCATCCACGATTGCCGAGAATGCCTCTGCCGCGAACTCGTCTGCCGCCAACACGCCGTACGGCACGGAACAGGATCCGCGTTCGCACGGCACGGGGCAATTCAACAGTGTTGATTACGAGATTATGGATCGGAAGACGGGATTCCGGTCTCAAAGTTCGTCGCCTCTTGACGTGCGCAAACCACAGCCCACCTCGGGTCATTTCGTCGAGGGTGGCAGGCCGATGCCGAGCGGGCAGGAAGGCTCGCGAAATGCGGGCTACTCTCCTCCGTCGCGAATGGGCCTGTTCGGCGCGTCCAAGCGAGAATCATCGCCTCCGATGCAACCGAAATCTCTCAATACGATGCATCCGTCTTCGGGCATGGGCCGGATGGTAGCGCGATGACACCTCACCTGCCTACATATAGACCTTTTTTTTTTCGATTTGTCATGGTTTTCAATTGCTTTCATCATGTTGTTCCTCTTTCCCCTGACAAGCCCTTTGTTCAATACGTCAGATCTTGTACCTACGTCCGTTTTATGGTGCTCGTCGCTTGGAGAGTCTTTCTGGGGCCTGGACATTTGATTTCGCGGCGTCTTCGTCTTCTTTTTTGATCTCTGATCTCTGATCTTCCTGGCCAAGGCTGGCATGGTTGTAAGTGCGCGTATGTATGTCTGTGTTGTGTGTAATTGATTGATTGACATGGAGAATAAATAATGCAAATAATGCATGGCATGGCATGGCATGTACTGTACGGGTGTCGACGGATCATCTGAAATAAATACCACTGGCTTTTTTTTTCTCCCCTGCATGTATGTTTGTTTGTTTGTTTGTGTGTGTTGGTTGGTTTGGCCTGGTGTGGTTTGGTCTGGTCGGTTGGTTGGTTTGCTTGCTTGGATTTGAGTTGCTTTTTGACAAATTCTTCTTGTTGGTGATAAATACCTACCTTCGATCAATCAATCTATCCATCCACTCTTCTTTCTTCATGATCATAATCATCGACTAGTTAATCGATTGACCGATCGATCAATCGATCATAATCGTATTGTATCATCTTGCTTGTTTGCTTTTTTGCGTGCTTGTGGATGATAAGAAGAAGACAAAGACAGGTCTTTGACATGACTGCGGTCGTGTGGTATACTGTATATGTGTGCTGTACGATTGTCTCGACAAGAAAAGCGCAGTAAGCTACTCAGTACACCGTAATGTATGGGCAATAGCCTGGACAAAGGTGTGGGGGTTACGCGGTACCGATATGTATATATATAAATTTCTATGCTAAGTAAGGAGGGCTTTGGGCGTTCCCCAGCCTCACCTACTTACATATGTACTTACTGTACTTAAGGTAGTTTAAGGTATATACCTAAGTTTACATAGTTATCCTCTTCCTAGGCAGGCTTCATGTCCATGTTTATTTTTTTCTTTAATTTCCCCCCCCTTTTTTTCCCCTTCTGTATATTACTCCGTTAGTTGTCTCTTGTATTAATTAATAGATGTCTTTGTCGTCTAGGTATCTCTACTTGCTAGGTCCTGTCCTTCAGTGAACCTTTCGTTATTTCCTCTCTCAATGTGAGATTTATTTCTTAGGATTTTTTTGTGTTCATGTCAATCTTCTTCATACGTGATGTGAATGAGACTTGGATGGATCTTTTTTATCATTTCAATTTCAATTCAATTCAATTGCAAAATGTACTGTACAGTACAGGATATATCTAAGGTTCTGTATTTCATTTCGGAAATCTAACCATCATCTCACAGATCAAGATCATCTCAATGGTGGATGGGATGGGAGTGGGAATGAGTGGAGAGTTTTTCTCTTCTTCTCCTTCGCCTGCTCCTTCATCGCTTTTTTTTTTTCAAATGTGGGAGGGTTTCTTTCTCTTCCCCCGGCAGTGATTTGCAGCTTCCCGATTGATAGGTGAATTGTTGGGATCTTTTACTGCCAATGACGATGATGATGGCATCCAGTTGAGACAATTCCAATGATCATCTGTGACTTCTTTTTTTTTTCCCCCTTCGAAATACAATCCTTGTGTTGATGTGGAACTCCGATAACTCGCATGAACTCCGTTTCCGTTACAGCCTGCTTAGTGAATAACGTCCCATGTTGGATATATTTGATCGTTGAAAAATCATCTGTCAGGAATATTCCGTTCGAATAATTTCTGGCGGTAATACGTCCTATTATTTCTGTTGCTGCTGCTGCTGCTGCTTCGGGGCTTCCGGGACCACGATATCCGAGAAGTCTTCCTGACCGACGGCACGAATCGTGAAGGCGTCTAGACGTATGTACACGGCGAAATCAGCAACTTTGAAACTGAAGGGCAATGGTGGATGCAAATCAAACGATCATCCATGAATCCATGATGACTGGACACGTACAGACACTGATACAAAATGCAAACAGCCCGATGCCTGTGACTGCGTTCTTGAAGAGATACGGCCGACGCGCACGGAGCAGGGCAGCTCCGGCGCGGTAATCCTTGCCGTAGTAGGAGGAATTGAAGCTGTAAGAGCAAGTCAACGTACGTTAATGGAGACGTTCTAGAACGGAAAGATCATAGTGGAACGACCAAAACAGGGGAATGTGATGTCCAACGTACGCTCCAGCCGGCATCTTTGACGCAGATCACAGCCAAACGAATGCGACAGATCTCCGAGACAGCAATTCAGGTCGACAAGACCCTGACGAGGGAGGTTGATCGGAGAGAATCGCAAATGCGCTCAGGTTCGGGCCGGCCTTGGCGTCATGTGCTGGTGTGGCGGTGCAACTGCAGCTGTTTGGTCGAAGAGCCTTGTTACGTCTGCACTATTGGAGATTACAAGATGGGCTTTCATCGCTTTGTTAATGCTGGATTTTCTTTATCTACCGCCTGAATTATCCATCCTGTGCAGAGTCCCAACAACCGGCGCTTGCGGGAATTCACTGCTGTGGCGGTGCAGCTCCTGATTGGCTCGCCCGCGGGCGTTTTGTCACAGGCCGTCAAGCTTCCTCGCCCATCGCGAGCTCCGGACCTGCCCAAAACACGCCCTTCGTAGTCCTCGACGCTCTTTACCGTCTGATTCTGCTTCTGCTTCTTCTCTCTGTTTTATTTGAATTTGTCACTTTTATGATTGCTCACAGGTTCACCGTCGTCAAGGTCTACACTCTCAATCTACGCCCCAGCTCGCCATTTCGTTCCTTACGCGTCTGCCAGCTTCGATCTCGTACCAGCTCCCTCGCGCTGTAGACTTGGCCTCTTCTCTCCTCGAATAACTGCGCACATAGACGAAGAATCAATTTTCCCTTTGTGATTGGAGGCTCCTAACTACGCCAGCCTCCGAGCTGTCATGGCTCAACCGACCAGCAACGTCAAAGAGCAGCTGGCTCAGCTCGAGGCGGCTCGCAAACTTGTGCTAGGCGATGTTGCCCTCTACCCGCAAGTCGTGCAGGGCATCCTGCCCATTATCGGTGTGAATGCCCGTCTAGAACTGCGACGGTGGGGAGCCGAGTTTCTGGCAGAGACCTTTGCAAGCCCCGCGCTGGCCGCGGCCCAGAAGGAACAGCTGGCAGGGACAGCGCTGCCGACACTGCAAGAGCTTCTGGAACACCCTGGGGAGGATACAGAAGTCATCAAGAGCGTGGTGCAGACTGCTGCAAGTCTCTACCCCCATGTTTTCAGGCAGATGTAGGTGGTCGTTGCTCGTTGCGTGTCCAGCCCACTAGGCCCCCCTCGTAGACAATCGATCAGAGTAGTTGTCGTTCATGAAGGTGTGCAATTCTAACATTAAGGTCCTCTACAGCATCCATCATCCAGACGATAAGTCCTTATGGGAGCAGATGACCACCATCAAGAACAATATCTTGCAGAGGTGGGATACCGCACCGCACCCGGTCAAGATCTGCTGCATCAAGTTCGTTCAGAAGGTCGTCCACGTTCAAACGCCCGGAACAATAGCGGATCCTAGAGTATGTTGCCCAAGATATGCGTGAGATATATTTGCTGCCACGGTATTGACGCATTCTAGCGCCCGGAGCAAAACGAAACCTCTCTGTCCCTCGTCCCCAGAAACCATGCTGTCCTTGCGATCCCACATTTGGAAGCAGAAGCGTCCGGTCTGCTCGATCGGCTCTTGACTGTCCTTCAGGATAACTCGGAGTATGCAGTCCCTGAACACGGCTAGACAGACAGACATGCTGACCGGGACTTAGTGACGCGATTCTAGTGAACGCGACGCTCAACTGTCTTGCGGTCCTGATTCGAACGCGACAGTCCATCGCTAACAAGATCATCGATACGATTCTCAACTTCAATCCCCTGAAGCAGGCAAACTCCCACATGACCCCGACCCTTCGCGTGAGCGTTAAATCGATGGAGCGCACAACTCGGGCGGTGCTGGTCAATGCCTTGAAGAGGTGTGTGAGACCGGCTCGTATGGATGGATCTATCCATGCTGACGAATGCTATAGAAATCCGAGCCATCCCCTTGCCGGGAAAATGCAGCAGTACATTGACCGTCTGGCGCAATCGCGGTTGGACATCCTCGACGATTCGTCTCGGAAGCGCGGGTTGCCTGCGGAGCCGACGGATGGGCTGGACAATGCGAAGCGTGCGAGACTTGATGTCGAAACTCCTCCTATTAAAATCCCTCCTCTGCCCCCTGGTCCAACAAGCTACGCTCAGCTTTTCACCCTTACGGAGGATGTTGGCCTCTCTACGTTCGATGTCAAGCAACTGCCGGCCGATCTCGTCGTCAAAATCACGGTCCCTGTTCTTCAACGCATTGATCAAAATGTCTTGAACCAAGCTATTGATGTGCGTATGCGAGCTCTAAGTCATCGGGAAAATTGTGCTGATCTAGAAACTAGGCTATTCGCGATCGCTATCAACAACTCAGCGCACGGCAAGCTACGCAGGCGCAGGCGCCGTCGGCAGAAGAGGAAGAGGATGAATATGAGCCTGAATATGAGCCGATGGATGTCCCGGACAATATCTCTGCACAGGCCGAAACGGTTTCCGCTGAAGCGGCCGACCTGCAGCCGGACCTGGTGTCGCTAGGGCCGTTTGTGCTGCCGCAGCCGCCTCCACTGTCGGAAGATGAGGCTGCAGATCTTGGTCGCAGCACGGTAGAGAGAGTCTTCGGAATGGTCACTTCCATGCCGCCCAAACCCACAAAAGGGGTGAATCAACAGCGACTTGGCTTTGCACGACTGGCTGGCAGCACGTTTGACAGAGATGCGTGGGTGACTCTGCTTACTAGGCTCGCCACGAGAGCATCTGCTGGCTTGGAAGCAGATGATGGACACAACAAGACCGAGAACGGACTGTCCAGACGCAGACCCGCCATTTCGGATACAATTCGGGAAATGCTGTATCGTTACATCATGGACGACTTCAGGTCAAGGATGAACATTGGCATCGCGTGGCTGAACGAGGAGTGGTACAACGACCGGATACAACTGAAATTTGCGGCCTCACAGCGCAAAGGAGACGAAGAGGTGTCGGTACCGTTGCACTATGATCACTGGGTGTTACGGTTGCTCGATGGCATCTTACCGTATCTTGACGCGCGGGACAAGGTCCTCATCCGGTTTTTGAGCGAGATCCCGGAGATGACGATCCCGATTGTTGGGCGAGTGAAGACCTTGGCGCGGGATCCGGAGCGCGTGAACCTGTGTGTGCAGGCTCTACTGTAGGTTGGCTTTTCCCGTGAGAAGAGAGCAGGCTGACTCCTTTCAGGTATCTTGTTATGTTCAGACCGCCGGCGAGGGACATGTGCTTGGATGCGCTGGAAGACATATACCACACCCGTAAGTTACTGTCAAGTTACTGTTCTGCGTTAGTGGCGTATAGGCAGCTCTGACATGCCACAGACGAGGAAGCACGCCCCGCGGCGGGCAAGGTCCTTGCCAAATGGCGGCCGCAGGTCGTTGAGCAGCAGTCGGCCCATACCAGCACCGGCGCCAGCACCGGCACGAATGGCGTCAAGGACACCAACACGTCCGAGAATGCCGCCGAATCACGATCTCAAACCGAGACTCCTGCTGTCCAGGTCGAGCCTGCCGCAGGTTAGATCCGGGACATCATCATCTTGTACCATGAGACTCGCAGAATTACACGCACATAGGTTATGTTCTGTATACTATCCGAGTCAGAGTACTGCACTGTACTGTCTGTACTTAGCATCGGTCTGGGTCAGGTTAGAGATAGTCCTATCTATCTATCTACGAACAAGAAACTCTGGACTGGATGAAGACGTAACTGCTTGCAGGAACTGCATTGCTAGGCCGCTATATAGCTGCTCTATCTCTTCTTGTTCGTTTCAGCGGCCTACTTGAGACGCAAGAATCAGGGCCGTATTTCTGCTGGATGGCCAATAGCAGCTGCCAATTCGGTCAGACTTGGGGCTAGGGATGGCAGTCCGCATAATAGCCCATGACTGTCGTAATTCTTCAGACTCATTTCTGGCATGCTGGCATCAACCATGCCGTCAGGCAGAGCTAGACCTCGTTCAACACGCTTCAGTCCGTAACCTACAATGATATGTACTGTACATACTGTTTCGTACAAGCTGGAATTAATGCGGGTATTTTTTTTACTCACGCAAGCTAGCCAGGTTCTATCTAGATGCTGCATATTTTTATTATTATTATTACTCGCACATGGATCCATCCGTCCATCCTATTCTATACATATTAGATATTATTTCCTTCTTGGACTTATCCTATACACGCTTCCCCCATGCGCACTCAATCTCCCTCAGGGCTCGCTCGTCCAGAGTGACGACCACGTTCTCCACACTCGTGAATAGCCGAAAGGCCGTTGCGTTAGGACCTGCAAAGAGCAGTTTGACCGTTACCATCGGCCGTCGCTCCTCGTCTTTCTTCTCAAGGTTAGAAGAAGAATGTAGTAATAATAGTAATCTCTCGAAGTGAGCGAAGAGCACCCTCCACTCGTCATGGAGGAAGAGGTGTCTGCCCTCATCAGACAAAAGTTCATGGCACCCGTCGATCACGATGAACAGCGTCGTATTGTTGGTGCAAGGACGCATGGAAAGCACCAACTCGGTGAACCGCGCGCAGACGTCCGTCAGCGTCGCCGTATTGTAGATGCAGGCATGCATCTTCTCGCTGTCGAAGTCGCGGTACTGGTCCACTAGCTGCAGCAGAAGGTCCATCGCGAGGAATTTCGGCGTCAGGGTCCCGTGCCAGCGGCGGCGCTGCAGAGTGCAGAAACATGCTAGGGGGATGACGGTCTCGTTGTTGCTAGTGCTAGTGTCTCTGCTGCTGCTGCTGGTGGCCTGCTCGAGGAGGGACTGTACCAGTTTTGCGGACACAAACGAGACGCCGGATACAGGGGGGATCTCGCCCTCGAAGGCTCTCCAGCCCGCGAGCTGGTTAGGGTCGCTTCCTCCGCTGAGGACGAGGACCCTCGACGCGGGATCCTGAAGCCATTTTTGGATTTCGTCATGGCGAGTCAGGGAGAGAATTAGGTCTTGAACCGTGCTTTTTTCCTCCTGCTGCCTGGAGCGAGGGGGAGGGATGGTGGTGAGTCTGCCACAGAACTCCTTGACGTGCTCTTTGTTGTAATTATGGGATTGGAGGACGTCCTCTGCTGAAGGGTGCGAGTGTCCTGCCGGTTTCTTCCCTTTTTCCTTGATAGATGTCTTTGCTGTACAGTACGCATGTGAGAAGTCATTCTTCTTCCTTCTCTCCGCAGTATATGACTTACATGAGTCGCTCATTTTGCGGTTTCTTTGGTACCTTGTAGAAAATCCTCGCCGTGCGTAGGCAGTTCTTTCATGAAGGTAGCTAGCTCAGCCTTTCTAACCAGAGCAAAGGTCTTGATATATCTAAAGAGGAGGAACAGGATAGAGAGTGATTGAAAGATACCTCAATCTTCTCTCTATACGTAGACAGAAACGATAGATAAATTTGTAACTATGGGAATTTGGTAAGAAAGGGGGAAAATACAAAAAAAAATCCAGAAAATACTCCCCCCGTCAGGGCCCAATCTGAATTATTATTTATCCTGCTTCCATTCTTCTGACTCCAACTGATTGATGGATGAATTGACTCGATTCAAAACGGACGGGAGGGACTGTTTGTTGAACTGCGTGTGTGACTTTGAGGCTTGTATATGTGTCACCATTCATTCCATTCGCTTTCCACGTGTTAGCGAGGCGAGCGAGCGGCAAGCCACTTACGAATGGAGACAAATAGAATGCGAAAAATAAAACAACAATAATAGTAATAAAACCAAAATCGATATAAGAATTTCGCCCCATTAGGGTAGTCGGATTTGGGCTGTTCTTTCATTCTTATTCATGACAGTAAATAATTTGGAATTTTTTTTTACAAAAAGAATTCTATTCTTGATATAAAAATAGGGTAGGTACCGAAGTGCGGGATTGAATAAAATAAAATAAAATAAAAATATATACGGAATACATACCTGACCTTGTTTATTTCTGGTCTAATATAACAAAGATGTCTTTTCTCCTGTACCTCGCATAGCTATATATTTTTATATATTTATGTCATGCCTGTAACTCCATATAAAGAACAGACACAGCAAATCAAGTCCCGCGTCTGGTTGCTGCTGCCAACTCTAGGTCTATCTATAGCAACTCAGCCAATCTAATCCTGCTTCCAAAATGTAGTCAGACTCATACAAATATAACTGGCAGAGAGCGCTAGCTAGCTAGCTCGCCGGGTAGCTTACCCGGGTAACATCCCACATAAGTAGTAGCATATAGTAAAGAAAGCCATAGACGAGTGAGCAAGACTTGGGTAGTGGTTTATTTTTTTTTCTGTATATTATCTATCTTTATCAAACTCAATCAATGAATAACTAAATGAATGGACATGGCAGGAATGTAGAGACAGATAAACAATCCATGCGATTCTGTTAGCTGGTTCCTACTCACTTAGTCAAGTCGAGTCGAGCCAAGTGCTGTCAGAAGAAAGCAAGAAATAAGAAACAAAGCAGAATAAGCATAAGAATAAAAAAAAGGATTAGAGAATGAATCGATCGATTGGCAGCTCCATCTGAAACTGTTCATTCGTCAATAATTACCCAAGATAAACGAAAACAAAAGATCTGAGATCAACGAAATTTTATTCTTGTTCTTGTTCTTAATGCGTAGGTAGTGTATAACCGGACTGGATTATATCCCCTATAATCAAATTTCATTCTTTCTGTCAGAAAAGATTCGAGCTTGATTAATTCATTGAGACTTATTATTCTGTTTCTATCACTCTCAGGGCCTGACTTTGCCTGCCCGTCTTCTTTTCTGCTGGTCTGTTCGGCTGTTGCAACTCATTACCCTCGAAAGTATATCTGAATCCACGAGCAACTTCCAACACCTGAGTGAGCGACTAGCTGCTTATTACATCGATTCGATATGGATGTACTGTACATGACTAGTCCTGTATGTACTTGCATGATTATAACCTGTGTCTACATAGACAGATAGAGAGAAATAAACTAGAACTGTATACGTATAAAGTTTCTGCTTAGCTGCAAGAATACTGCCTCCTGACATGTGTTTTTGCCTAATATTATTGTTATTTCTTTCGATTGATATCTCAACACAGACTTTCCAAGTGATAGGACTGCTTAGCATCTTCTGCAAACCGTAACCAGTCATCAGAATGCAAGCCCTAGCCCTGGGCCTGAGCCCTACCTAGCTCGGCAGAGCAGTCTTGAATCAGAATTCATTCAGCACCACAAAGTATATACGTACATCATGCATCCATAGCCTATCATTCCAACCAAACTGTCAATTCAAATTAATAGATGGATATTCTGATGCGAAAGATCTTCGTCCCGATAGGCGATCGATACGAGCAGCCTTCGAGCCATGCGGGGAAAGCACTCTGATTGGTCTGCTGCGGAAGACTAATAAATACTTCAGACATGGGCTGCCACTCTCTCCTGCAGGGAACGAACAAGATTGCAGGACTCAGTCTTGGTCGAAGTAAAGACACGCGTGTTCCTGAATACGTGCAATGCAGCTACCGGACTGCTCTCCGATGCCGATGGACGTGTCTCTAGACTTTTGTCTTAAAAACTGGGTTGCCCCGATGACTTGAATATGGAAGATAATGAGAACATACAGTTCGCGTGAATTCACTAGAAACGTCCTGCACCATACTGTATAACCTTCTCGCCATGACTTCATCCAAGCCCGTCGTTCTCCACCTCGGCGATCCGGTCAAGTACAACCTCGATCTTTACGAACGCTTCGCCTCGCAATTCACCATCATCCGGCCATCAGAAGAGGAGCGACAACGCGATGCCTTTATGGCGGCGCTGAAGGAGAAGCGCTGGGGCGACTTTGACGCCATCTTCCGGCCCTTCTGGAATTCCGGAGGCGAGATGGGTCGCTGGGACAGGGAGTTGGTGCCGCTGCTGCCGAAATCCGTCAAGGTCTTTGCCAGTGCGGGACGGGATTCGACTGGGCTGATGTTGATGTTCTGGCTGAGCATGGTATGCTAAGAAAATGCTGTTTGTTTGTTATATGTCCACTGACGTCCCAAGGAATCCTCTACTGCAACGGCGCAACTGCCTCCTCCGAAGCCGTCGCCGACACGGCCATCTTCCACATCCTCGCCGTTTTCCGCAACTTCACCTGGTCGCAGCAGGCCGCGCGCTCGGGCGATCCGGAGCAGTGGCTGGACGCGCATCGAAACACGGCTCTGACGGCGTGGAATCCGCGTGGCCGGGCCCTGGGCATCATCGGCCTGGGCAACATCGGCTACACGATCGCGCAGAAGGCCTACCGCGGTTTCGGCATGAAGATCTTCTACCACGACCTTGTGCGGAAGAGCGAGGAGCAGGAGAAAGCCGTCGAGGCGACGTTCTGCCCGTCCAAGGAGGACCTCGTCTCGCGCGTCGACTGCGTCGTTCTCGCGACGCCCTTCGGCGGCAAGGTGCTTGTCGACGCGGAGCTGTTGAAGCATTTCCGGTCCGGGTCGCGCTTTGTCAACATCGCCCGCGGCAAGCTGGTTGATGAGGAGGCCCTGGTCGCAGCATTGGAGTCGGGTCACCTCCTGGCGGCCGGTCTGGACGTCCAGGCCAACGAGCCCCATGTCCATCCCAAGATGCCCCAGATGCGCAACGTCGCGCTGACCTGCCACAACGCCGGCGGAGCCATGGACACTCGTATCGGATTTGAGTGGCTGGCGATGGAGAACGTCCTGCGGGTTTTGACGGGACAGGAGGCTCTGACGCCGGTCAACAAGCACCTGTTTCCGAAATGAGAAGACTGACGAGATGAGGAACAGCAAATGTACATGTACATACTTAATGAAAGCGGTCGTACACACGCGAACATTCAATCATACGTAGCACATACGTGAATATTTCCCTCTTCGCTAGAATTCCCGAAGCCCATGCAACAGGATATACGCTACCACCAAAACAACACATAGGGACAGTCCTTGTTGCAGTCATTATAGAAGATGGCATAGTACTGTCTATCTAGCTATTATCTGAGACCAATTTGCACATGTGAGGCAGTATTCTCGACAATCGTAACAGAGCAGCTACTTAAGAGCAGAACTGGTGGCAGTCCCGATGAATAATGACACGAGAGAGAGGAATCGGTGACAGTAGACATCGACGGGATGCTGTTTGGACCTTGCATTCAGAAGTTAGCAATATCGATAATTTGCAACAATCCTCAAATTGATTGGCATTAATGTCTATACGAAGGAAGACTATAGACGCGGTCATCTCCAGCTGGGAAAGGAGATATTTGTTTCTGGAGAAATGCTGTAACGATCACGATGGATAGCCCCAGAAACCTTATCGTAATCTGTCTCGATAGCGGGCTAGATCTGAAAGAGGCAGCAGAAGCAAACACTTGGTCTTCTGTCTCTTTCGCACTCGTCACATTACCTACTAGGTAGGTTGGACTATTACCTGCTATAGTCAATCTCCTATAACCCAAGACCCCATATACCAACAACTTGGCTCAATAATAGGGTAAAAACAAGCTTCACCTAGCAAGAATCACAGAGGCGCTTGGGGAGCACCCAGTCTCAGATTTCTTTTATCGTCAACATTTCCTTTTCAGGAAATATACGAAGCCTCCCGCCCCGAGATCTACACAATCGCCTAGCAGACAGAGCCTTCTATGAAATTTCATACTTGTTTCACATGTCAGAAATACATGCATCCATTCGTTGCTCTTCCACCTAGGACGGCTGGGGCAGATATTTACGGCCTTCAGCCTCTTCATCAGTGTTGGTGATCTGAAGGCTGGATCGGCGAGATGAGGTTGTCGACAGCTGATGTATCGGTCGATAAGTTTCTGCAGACAGGAATGAGCCAGACACTGTATCTTAGAAGCCAATGCCAACAGTGCAGGCCAACGAAGGGCGAAAGTGGGTTGGTGAGCGGTGCGTTAGCGGCATCTCCTCGAAGTAGGAGTCGAGGAAGTTATCCAGGGTGGCAGAGTAAGGAGTCTGTTCAAGTAGCAACGATGGTCCGTATGACCATTTCAGTCTCTGCTGGTAGGCTCGACGTCATAATAGCTTCTATGATTTCGGCATTATATCGGTTGAACACAAAGGCTATACAATGAGATGCCTAGTCTAGACTGTGCAGAGAGGGCAAGTCAGGGACAAGCTTCAGGATCTGAAGCAGGAGTTCATTGGAAGCCTCATAAAAGGAACATCTGGCAGTAGCAAATGACGATTCTCCTGTTCTTCTGTTTTTTCTCTGAGACAGGTACTGTCCTGTACATGAAGCTCACATTACAGAAATAACCACACAAGTATGGGGACTTCAAGGAACATCAAAATTGACACCGATAAGAAAACACGTCATTTAATGTGTCATTCAAGTTCGGAAAGCGTACAACAGATGTGCTAAGCCGACTTGGAAACAGGATTTTCATGGTGGGTGACTGGAAATTACCGACAAAATGCATGCAGCAGCTAGTATAACACATACACCGTCTATTTACTCCATTTAATCGTACCATCGCACTTTGATGTGGCAGAAGTACAAAAACCCAAATGGCCCGCTCTAAGCTACCTAATATAAGTACTCTGGAGTAAAATAGGCTCGGCACGAACCGCGTTTACTCCGTATGAACCGCAACCTTAAAAAGTGGATACGACAGGGGTAAGCGCGTTACCTAGCTTCGCAGGTGGGGCGTAAGCGCCGAGATGATGATCGAAGGATTACTTTGACGATGATGATGATGATGAGGAGGATGGTGAACTACTCCGTATACCTAGGTTGTGTGCTGCAGATAAGGCTTCGCGGTCCGAACCGGGGATGGTTGCCATCAGTCGCAATGGCTTCCGTCGTCGAGCCCAAAGAGCGCAACAAGGCTGACCGTCGCATAATACCAGCGTCGTTTGAATGCCAAATAGCAAACTCGACTTTCCCCCGAGAGACCTTCTGATGATGCCTAAGGATAAATTTGTCGTGACTGAATTTCCAGAATATAACCACAAATAGTCGAGCGTCATCCTAAGACGCCCATTAACCAGGCGCGTTAACTATGCACTACCTCTGCCATTACCTGGCTGGGTACTAGAGTTGTAGTCTGAATATCCAATATACTATATTTACAGGTTTAGGATACTTCTATTAAGAGTATCTTTGACCCTCCCATTGCAGTCTCCTTCTGTCGTTCTCCTCTTATAGGCATGTATAGCACCTATGAGTATGGCTTCAAAGACCTTTGGGAGTATAGTCCTTTGTAGTTAGGTATGAGAGACTTAAAGTACCCTCTCTAGTGGGGTGTCGAGTCTATTTCCCATCACTACACACAAGATTCCGCATCTAGAGAGCGTGATGATCTCTGACGTCCACCCAGTAGGTTTCTACCTTCCATAGACCCAGAAATAACCCTATTAATCTCTCCTATGAAAGGCTATCCTGACAGACCATTGCTAACTGCTTTTCAAACCATACGTTTTCCTCTTCTCTATAATGGGCACACAGCATGCACGAATCCTCCAGGCCCATTTTAATGGCACTGAGCTGGTCATCTATTACAGCAAACTCTATTACTTCCAACACAATGATACTGCTCTCTTGGAGTTGTTTGTACAGTACAGTTGTTTCTCAACTCTCCTGTAGGCGAGACTAACCAAAGTGACGGGTTCTTATTTACAAGCCGGGATGAAAGCATACCTGGGAATTCGCGTTTGGGTTTGGTGGTTTTTTGGCTGTGTTTTGTTGGATGGTATAAGTCACGTGTATATATCTCGACTGTACGGAGTATTCTCGCATGCTGTTTGGTTGCATATGAAAAGCAGTACTCCGTATGGCCTGTCTGGAGAATACAGGTCTCACAGGCAGATATGACGAGTATAAGTATACCAGCTGAGATCTTTCAATCTTCATTCCTTTCTTGACCAATTTGTCCGCCATAGTGGGAGAAAGAATCTATTGAGCGATTTTCCGAGGCTCAATTCTTGCAATCAGCTTAGATGACTTTGACATCATTAATTCTAATAAATAGTTTTTTATACTCCGTACTTTGTTTTGGTCTTGATATTTAGGAGCTTCATTTATATCGTATTAAGTCCCTTTAATTAAAAATATCACTTATTCTTTATAAATTCCTAATTACAGATTCTGGCAACTACCCAAGACAAAGAAACCTCCTGTCTCAAAGAAATCTTCTGAGCTGTGCCGAGCCATCTCAATATATATGCTGTATAGCTAATCCTAAATTCCCGACTGTTGACCTCAGACGCTTCGGATAAAAAACTGGTGGAGCTGATTAAGCATCACCCAATACAGTTTAGCTCAACCCCACCTCACGTGGGTTGGAGTGTTACCGACCTATCATCTCTCAGCAAATGATAAATCGTCAGCGGCAGCAGCAGCAGGAGTTGCGCAATTGCAAAAAGCGAAAAAGGAAAACAAAAATAAAAAAACAATCGTAGAATTCTGATTCGTCAGCCCTCTACACCGGTAAGGTACCTGGTACTTCCATTATCCCTAGCCGGGTCCCAGTAGTTCAACGGCTTCCATTTGGCGCTGCAGAGCCATGGATCGGTCGGACAAAGGTCGGTGATAAGGACGCTTATCTCCGGCAGAGGGAGAGAGAGGGGCAAGATCAATATTAATAATAAATAATACAGCTGGGACCCGGCAGGTAGATACTCCGTACTCGGGTCCCAGTGCCTATTGTCTTCAAGGGGATGATAAATAATAATAGTGATATAATGTGTGGGGAAAAGAGAAAGACGAAGAAACACGTACTATTACTAATTACTACATATTTGTACCAAGTGTACTCCATAGCTGTGTCTCATCTTGCTCCTCACTTCATCTCCTTCCCCTCTCTTCTTCTCTTTCTACGTAATTAATTTCTTGCGCTGGTGTTTATAAATTAATTCACTTTTTGGCCCTGATTCTTTTCTCTTCGTTTCATACGCCAATCCTAATTATACCAATTCAAGGACAAACCAAATGCCTCCCCACCCCGACATCGCAGCCGTCAATTTCACCTCCACCACCCACCACGACACCTACCCTGCCATCGCCAAATCCGACCAGCGCGGTCGAGTGGTCCTAATCACCGGCGCGTCGCGAGGCATCGGGCGGGCGACAGCCGTGTCGTTCGCCAAAGCCGGGGCAGCGGGCATCGCCATCGCCGCGCGCTCGGGGCTTGACGAGGTGGAGAAGGAGATCCTTGCTGCAGCACAGGAACAGCAACAGACACAACCGCAAATCCTCAAGCTGCGCCTAGACGTCACGGACGAAGCCAGCGTCGCCAACGCCGTCGCCCAGGTCGAGCAGACCTTTCACCGGCTGGACATCCTGGTCAACAACGCCGGATACCTGGAGCACTGGGTGCCGGTGGCAGACAGCGACCCGGCAGAATGGTGGAAGTCATGGGAGATCAACGTCAAGGGCGTGTACCTGATGACGCGCGCGTTCCTGCCTCTCCTACTGCGCAGTAGTAATCCTGACGGGCAGAAGACCATCGTCAACGTCAGCTCCATCGGCGCGCACTACGCCCGCCCCGGCGCGTCGGCGTATCAGACCAACAAGTTCGCTCTGCTGCGTTTCACTGAGTTCCTGTCCGTCGAGTACGGAAGCAAGGGCCTCCTGGCTTTCGCGATACACCCCGGTGGCGTCCCGACGGAGCTGGCCCTGGGCATGCCCGAAGATATGCACGCGCGTCTGCTCGACAAGCCGCAGTTAGCCGGTGATTCGATTGCCTGGTTGACGCAGGATAGGAAAGAGTGGCTTGGTGGCCGGTATATCAGCGTCAACTGGGATCTGCCCGAGCTTGTCTCCAAGCGGGATGAGATTGTCGAGGGCGATAAGTTGAAGATGAGGATTGTCATTTAATTACCTACTGTACAGACTGTATATCGTATGTCTGGTTACTGGACTGTAATTGAATATATAGACTTGTACATACAGATAGAAATCTAAACACGCCAAACTGAGCTCGGCAGTTATAAGTACCCAACAGAACTTGGTATAGCTGGAGTATCTATTATTCGTACATACACTCAAAGGAAACAAGTAATCTCTGACTTATAATCGACTATTCAGCCCGCAACACTGGAGGCCCCCTCCGCTTCGTCGCTCGCTTCTTCTTGTGCCCCTTCTCAAATGCCACCGCACTGTTGTGGTCCCGCCCAACATTGTCCAGATCCTTGACCTTGTAGATCCGAATGATCCAGTTCTCGCTCGTAAACGCCTCCTCGAGTGTCGTCAATTGTGGCCCCTCGGCCGGCAGTCGCGCACCACGCACCCGGTCCATTGCCTGGCCACCCGGGAAGAGCCGGTTGAAGTTGTAGTACGACATTTTGTACCTGTGATCTAGTCAGCAGAACGTCATGCGAAAAAGACGGAAAAATGCTTACATCAAACTGTTGCGCATGGTCGGTGTTGCCGCATCATCGACACGGTACTCTCCGTTCGGGGTGAAAAATTCCCGCTCCTTCACCTGGTCCGGCCAGATACCCTCCGCGATACGAACCATCCAGAGGAATTTGTTGATATCATCTCCCGAATAGCCCAGCAACCCTCCAAACACGACCAGCACGTAATCGACATCGTGCTGTCGGAGGATGGGGTAGCTAACCTCTTCGCGGGAGCTCATGGCCTTCCCGACCGTCGCAATGTGCGTGTTGTTCCAGGTGTTGTTGTCAACCAGCGTGGGTCGGTCTGCCATGCCTCCGATCTGGTAACCATAATCCCACCACGACATAATCTTGGCGTTGCGAGGCGTGTTCTGCCGGAGCCAGTAGTACGCTTCACGGTAGTCGTCGATGATAAACTGACTGCCATCAGGCATCCGACTAGCCAACACGACCGACGGCGAAGAGTACGCATTGGACGTGACCCAGGTGCAGTGAGCAACAAAAAGAAGCAAATAAACGGCAATGCCAGACGTCATGAAAACCTTGGAAAACATCGAGTGAATCCCAAACACAGTCCCCCGTGTGGACCGGAGTCCTTCCGAAGAGTTGCCGTTGCCTTTGGCCGGGGCGGCTTCCTTTGGTGGAGGCTGAACACGCAGATACGTGTCCAGGACAGAAGACAGAGCCATCGCTGCCGTAACGCAAACAACGGGAGTCAGAGTCAGCATCAACCGAACCATGACACCGGCGAAGTAGCTTGCGAGAACGGCGTAAATCACGATAAACACATGCTCGTCCTTCAGATTACGGAAGCACATGTAGACACCAGCGGGGAACAGCCAGACCAAAAAGTTAAGGTCGAAGAAGAATGCCGGCCAGGCAGTGGGCTGGTGTTCGGACACCGACGCAATGATGGGAATGTGGATCTTGGCGTATCCGGTATCCCAAAGGGAGTAGAAACGACCACTCCATGGCGCAATCACGCCCGAAACGGTGAGCAAGACCAGGCCGATGAACGAGAGGGCGAAGATGACCAGGATGATGCTGGTCAGGAGCATCTGGAACTGTCTTGAGGGGACCTGAGCGCGAACGAAGTCGGCAAATGCCACGAGCTGGATCAAACCAAATATACCTATGCAGAAAGAATTGTAAGCAAAGGAACGTTGCCATCCCGTCACCGAACGCGCGTACCTAAAGCGGACATGTGGTCGCTGTTGCGGATGGGCAGGAAACCGACGAACGGAATCTGCATGCTCGCCAATGTTCCCAGCGCATACCAGGTGGTGTAGCTGATGTACAGGCGAGAGCTGTACCTTCCCATGCAGATCAGGATAAACACATGGAGAGGGATCAGATTCGTGATGAACACATATCCACCCCAGGCGGACACCATGTAGCCGTAGAACAGCGCCGTCAGCGTACCCCACATGATGGAGCCATTCTTGACAGCCTTGATCCAGAGGAAGAAGGTGAACACCAAGAGGAAGATGGCAATGGCCTCGTTATCGTAACTTCCCGCGACCGACCGGGAGATATAACCCGGAGCAATGCCCATGAAGGCAGCCGCCAGGAGACCGGCGGAGGGGGAGGGGGTCATCTCGCATGTCAACAGATAGGTGGCCAATGCCGTCAGGCCAGAGAATCCGGGGGCGAGCAGAACGCAAATGTTCCGGATATCGACGGGGATGGTGAGAAAGCGGAGGAGGTGGTAGATGACACCGCTGGTGACCATCAGGCCGGGATAGAGCGTGCCACCTGTGACACGTCCCAGTGGATGCCACGTTCCTGAGATGGATTCTCGTATCAGCATGCTGCCACGGTCGTTGCGGTGGTGGAATGAGAGACCCACGATCATCGAACCAGTCCCAGAAGCTATAGAAGCCATGTTGCACCAAGTGTTTTGTAGCTCTGAAGTTGAACCAAGGGTCGACTGTAACAATTGATTAACATTTCTCTCGCAAAGCCACGTAAGGTGAAGTAGTATGGACAGCCGCTGGAGGAGACAAAGAACACATACACTCGTGAATGATACTTTCGAATCCTGCGATACTCGTCAGCCACTCAATGCCATACAATTAATTCAGATAACTCATTTTTGCATACTGATGACACTGAACAGCCGACTGGCCACGGCAGCGGCTGCAATGGTGCATAGAATGACGATACGGAGGAGGCCGCGAGTGTTCCTGCCCGTCTCCCCCTTCAAAAAGGGGTCAATTCCAGCAGAGGCCATAATGGCCGCCAAGGAGACGAAGACAATTCAAGCAGAAACGAAAAGAAGGTGAGACTCTGGGACCATGAGCGAGGAGGCTGACGGGGAGAGAACGGGGAGGTGCAGCAGCTCCGCCAGGTGGTCTCTTCGAGGTCTTGGCGCGAGCGTGGATGGAATACGCAAGCGTGCCTTAGTTAGTCCGGTGGAGGCTCTGCGGAAGCCGCCTGCACCTCCGAAGCTTGCTCCCCGCACCACCTGGTGTCCCTCATTCGAACTCACTCATATTTCACGTAACAGCGCTCGTTGGATTCGAATTCTTGCCAGGACACCGGACTATGGACCTACCACCGCTGTCGTTCGAGCAGCTATCCAAGGTGCTGGCAGAGGCCCCGACGGCCGAAGCGCTCTGGGATATGCTCAGCCAGTACGAGAACGAGGCCTGTCTGCAATTCACCGACACCGAGGTGACGGGCGACCCGAAATTATTGAGCGCTTTCTATGCTTCTTTTCTTATCTCGCATCTCTTGAGTGATCAGATGTAAGTCATCGTCTCGTCTGGTCCGTGGCTGAGCGGAGATATAATAACGGATGATACCAGACACGAAGCTCGCGCCATGACAACCCGGATGCCCCCTACCTTGGTAAAGGATGACATGGTCCTGCAGAACAGCATCACGCTGCTGCGAGCAGTCTATCAGAATAAGTATGCGGAGGTCTACAGGATCCTCCGACAGCTGCCCTGGCCGGAACCAGTCAACCAGTACGTCCAGAAATATGATGGTGAGTGAACATGGCAGTTGATATAGCGGGGACATTGATCTAATATCCCCTGGTTTGAGTATAGCCTATTTCGCAGAAAAAACGTTCAAAGAGATCAGTCGAGCATACGAGGCCATCAGAGCCGAGAGGGCAGCAACATATCTGGGGTTGGAAGAGGAGATCCAGGGAGATTCCGGCGAGCCAAGCCCGAAACTCATCCAGATATTGACGCAAAGAGGATGGGTCTGGGACGCAGACGAGCACTTGTTCCGACCAAAAGTGCAAGACAAGCCTGCAGACCTCAGCGACACCAAAACAAGCGGGTTAAACCAACTGGTGGGACTGGTGAGCGGCTATGGTGGCTGAAGCGCCGCCTTGCCAGAACGAAGCTTTTAAATCTACGCTGCATACCCCAGCAGAAAGGCTACAGCCAGATTATGATGATGAAGCTAATGATAATGAGACATGTCGCGAAACTCCTTACTCGGGTCGAGACCAAATCTAATGGCAGAGTCCGCCAGATGAGTCTCTGCATAGAGAAAAGCAGTTTCGGGACAGGGGCAGTCAATGCAAGGACAAGACAACAAAAAAGCAATCCCGTCCCTCGAGGTAACCGTAGTGTACAGACGTTTATGAAGACACAGGGTATGTACAGTACAAAGACGGCGAGGATGGTCTATCAATGGTGAAATTTCCTCTCTCTTTCGCTTGCAATGACACACAATTCTGGGAATGAAAACAAAAGAGATGATATAAAAAGAAAAAATAATACAAAACTGGCTTCATCCAGCCAATTGTTCTTCGCGTTGGTGCCTCATGGCGTATATGACCGTTGTGTCTCCCATCAATTCCCTGCCGACCCTGTCATGCCCCTTCATGTCTTTGCTTCTATTTCTCCGCCGCCTTTGCTTGTAGGAATGCTTCCAGATCGAACCGACTGTCCTCCGGATCTGTGATCACTGTAGGCTCCTCGTCAGCATTTGCACCCTCTGCAGACGAAAAAAACATGTCTCCCGGAAGCTGCGGCGAGGGAAATGGCCACGTACATCCTGCAGTCTCAGTCTTCTGCTCTGGCGGTGCGGTCTTCTTCCTCCACTCGGCCTTGGCCTGCTCGATCAACGATTCCTTGTGCTTGTATTCCCGCTCGATCTCAGCGCGCTTGGCTTGGGCGTTCAAGGACGACTGGTGCCAGAGACCGTAGACAAGGCCCGCAACCAGAGCCGAGTAGCGCAGAACCTAGAGATCAGAAAACAGAGCGGCGTTAGTCACGAGCGGTGCGAAACTGAGCAGGAGAGAAGCTGGCTCGAGAGCAGGCTCGACAACTTACATTGACGCCCTGCGAAGCCATCCTGGACAGACGTCGCCTCGGGAACGAGGAAGGAGAGACCAGACAAAGGGAGAGGAGCGTGAGGCTAGCTACCAGACAACAGGCGCACGCGGCAAAGAAGGGAATCCTGGGTCAATGGCTGGCGGACTTGTAGAAGAAAGCGTTCGCTGGGCTGGCTGGAGGAGGACAGAAGTTGCTGTCGCGAGTTTTTCCGGGCCGCCCGAGCGAATTCCTGCCCACCGCTGCTTATGTCATCCGCGTCGGCCCGCAACTGCTGGCGGAGCGCCCGCCGGACAACCAAGGCTGGCAGCGGCAGCGACAGGCCCGCCCGGGGAGAGCGAGAGGGTAGTAGTCGATGGCCCTGTGAACGCGCGACACAGCTGCTGATCCAAAATGACGCCCACGATGCAAGCGCGGAAGGAGGAGATCCTCGCCAAAAAAGGCGAAGCTCGCGGAGCTCAAACGCCAGCGAGAGCTGCGCCAGAAGGAGTTCAACCAGACCCGCTCCAGCATCGGCGAGTCCTCAGAGGTAAACAGAGTATATAGCAGCTGACCCTGCCGCCCCATTGCTCGTCTGTTTCTAACAGTGCTGGACCAGATTTCTCCCGCCCCGAGTCGTGCAGAGAGCAGAGCCGAGCTCGACAGTTTGATCTCCCGTCTCGTTGACCGGCCTCCGTCGGGATCGTTCAAGGACGGCGAAGGCCTCTCCCGCAAAGGCAGCAGGCCGAATTCGGTGCTCAGCGCGAGCCAGCTCAGCGGAGACAATGTCGAAGCGTATACGCCTGTGCGCGCCCCGTCCCAGTCGATTGCCACGCAGACTGACTTCACCGGGCCTCTCCCTTCCCCGCCAGAGCCGGCCCCTGAACCGAAACCCGAGACCGTCACCTACAGCAAAGGTGTCCAGACGACGGACGACTTGATCCAGCCTCCAGGAGGACCAGCAGATGGCCCGCTGGAAGACGATGAAGAGACGTCGCCGTCCAGCAAGAGACTCAGCCGCAGGGAGCGTGAACGGGACGAGGAGATCCGGGAACGGCTCCGCAAGGAGATCGAGGAAGAGCTGCAGGCGACGAAGCAGCAGAGTGCTCATGATGGGCCTCTGGCGCCGTCGACACAACTTCGATATCCTCTACGAACGTTGACCGAGGACGAGCTCAACGCCGTCACGTCTTCGGAGGAATTCTTGGACTTTGTGGAGCGGTCCAGCAAGGTGATTGAGCGGGCATTGGACGAGGAATACGATATTTTGGCAGACTACGAGATGGGCGGCGTCAATGCCGAAGACGACGAGGAAGACGAGTATGGCAAAAAGCGGAGAGGGATCAAGGAGGTGACCCAATTCTATGACGAGCGATGGAGCAAGAAGCGGATGATCAGCGATTTGAGCTTCTCTCCAAAGGTAGGACATCCTATGGGCTGGCGTCTTGTACAGGATGCTGATTTGAGATGCTACAGTTTCCGGAATTGGTGCTGGCTGCATACACCAAAAATCCCACGGCGCCTCATGAGCCCGATGGGCTGCTCCAGATCTGGAACCAGCACCTGCACTCTCGACCCGAGTATGTCTTCCATTCGACGTCCGACATTCTCACTGCAAAGTTCTCTCCTTTCCATCCGAATCTCATTGTGGGTGGGACGTATTCCGGGCAGGTGCTGCTCTGGGATACGCGGTCATCGCGCGCCGGCGGCGGTGCTCCGGTGCAGAAGACACCGCTGACCGGGTCAGGGCATACGCATCCGGTGTACAGCATCGCCATCATCGGCACACAGAACGCGCACAACATCCTGACGGCCTCGACTGACGGCGTCGTCTGCGGCTGGACGGTCGATATGCTGTCCCAGCCACAGGAGTACCTGGAGTTGACCACGCCTCCGCCGTCCAAGACGGAGGACCTGGCACCGACGACCATGTCATTTCCCCAGTCCGACCCGACGTTTTTCCTCGTTGGCACCGAAGAGGGCGGCATCTACCCCTGCCACCGATACGATCGGGCGGGCGCCAAAGCCGGCACGGACCAGCGTCTCGCGTACCGCGGGCACGCGGCGCCGGTCATGTCGACGGCCTTCCATCCGGCACGAGGACCCGTTGACCTGGGCGATCTGCTGCTCAGTTCGAGTCTAGACTGGAGCGTCAAGCTGTGGCGCGTGCGACCGCCCGCGACGACGGCGGCGTCGGCCACGTCGGCGGCAGGGCCGCAGGTAGTCTCTCCGGTGCTGGACATCAACCGGGAAGACGTCGTATACGACGCGCGATGGTCGCCGCACCGACCGGGAGTCTTCGGACTGGTAGACGGGGCCGGCAACGTCGAGATCTGGGACCTGTGCACCGACACCGAAGTACCGGTCGTGCGCACGACACCGTCGCGAGGCCGCGGGGGCGTGCTGACGCGGAGTCTGAACAAGATCGCGTGGGAAGAGCGCGAAGGCCGCCGCATCGCGACGGGCGGGCTGGACGGAGTCGTGACGATTTTCGAGGTCGGCAAGGCGCTCAGCGGACCGGTCGAAGAAGTGCCGGCGGACGAGTGGACGGCCATGAAGCGCTTGGTAGGGAAGTTGGAGCAGAATGATAGGGGGATATAAATCAAATCTCGCAGTATACCCTCCTTCTTTTTCTCTACCATAGTCGGTCGACTACTGTCTGTACAGTACATGTGCATGTCCTACGTCTCATATCCATCCTCTACATACTACCTCCATAGATACTAACATTAACCACGAGAATCCATCCTCGAGACAGACAGACAGACAGCCAGTCAGTCAGATGCAGAGTCAGACAGATGCAAACAGCAGACCCTGTCAATACTTTATTTCACTTATGTTATTTAATTCTATTCCCAATTCCCAATCCTAACGATGAACCAATCGAACCTTGGAGGATTTTTTTTTCTTCTTTTCATCATTCCTGTTCTCGTGTTACTTTTGGTCTTTTGCTCTTCATTAAGGTCCATGTTTTACCATACCATACCACGCTTTATCATGATTTACTATGCTCTACTATGCACTATTACTTCGGGACGCAGTAATAAAACCCAATTCAATCAATACAATCAATACAAATCAATCAATCACTAGGTCCAGTACAGTACAGTACAGTACATTATTACTATAGACTAGGTAGTTTTAGGTACTGTACCTACCTAATTTTACTTTCTTGCTTGTTACAGTATTAGGTAGGTAGCTAGGCTGTTAGGCTGTTAGCTAGCTATAGCTAGCTTAAGGGATAGCAATAGCAATCAAATATACCCCTGTGATCCTCATCCTATCCCATCCTATCCTAATATTTCTGTTCCTGCTCCTGTTCCTGTTCTTGTTTCTACCTATCTACCGTAGAACATTCTTACTACTGAGTAACATGCTATGGGAGTCTCTAGTTATATAAATAAATAAATATTTCTCTTCTGATCTATGATGTTTACTACATTACCTACGTCGGATGATGGATCTTGTATGTACTGGTACAAGGATGGCATACTAATAATACTCCGTATAGTCCCATTGCTCTACGCTGATTAACTCTCACTCGCACGATCACTCCACTCATCTTACTAGCCGCCATGACTTGCCCTTAAATCTCCCATCCATCCGGATACAGATTCTGAGAGCCCTTGCATATACAGAATTGAGCTACCGCTGCCATGGAGTACATTACACCTCTCTCGCCGCCAGTGCCTTCTGGAACGTCTTCTGAAACTGACGCACATGTTCCGCCCCCAGCATCGTATAATGCGAGCCATCCACCTCATGAAACCTCGGCGCCGTCCGGGTGAACTCGTTCCACCGACTGAGACGCTGGGCCAACCACTCCGCCTTGCTGAGCCCCACGATGGCCAGCGGATTGCAGTAAAACACATCCAGCCTCTCGACCTGTCCATTCGGCTCGTAGTCTCGGGCGATGCCCAGTAACCCACATGCCACGTCGACCCAGGTCCGGAGCGTGTCGGCCGTGAGAGCTCGGCCATGCGAGAGGGCGCCGCCATGCGGGTGATGTGTGTGACGGCCTCGTCTCGGGAGAGACCTTGGAGCTTCGGGGCGAGAGTGGCGTCCTCCGGGATGAGGTCGAGGAAAGATGACAGGTGTACCAGACACTGCATCCAGTCCAGCTGGCGCATTCGGTGTTTGATGTGCGGAGGAAGATTGAAGGCGCCGAGGAAACGGACCTCGTCTCCGTCACGCTCGAGGACTTTGGCGATCTCAAAGGCCAGCATGGCCCCGTACGAGTATCCGGCGATGGCGTATGGTCCATGGGGCTGCCTCCGCTTGATGCCGGCGTGGTAGGTGGCCACGCATTCGGCGATATCGTGGAAGGACGGCTCGCCCGGGTTGAAGCCTCGGGCTCGCAGAGCATGGACGGGCCGATCCTGGATGAACCGGGCGAGGCCGATGAAGACCAGGACCTCTCCGACGCCTGGATGGATGAGCCAGATGGGAGTTTTCTGCCCCTGCGATTGAAGAGTGACGACGGGATCGTACCCGACTGGGTCTTCCCCAGGTCTTCCAGCGCTCTTGCCAGCGAGCGTCATCATCGTGATCATCGGGATCTCTTGGGCCAGACCGAGTTTCTCCTGGATGCGTTGCTTCAGCTGGATGAGCTCGACGGACGTGATGCCCATCTCGAACACGGTCGTGTCGACGCCCAGTTCCTCTTCTGGGACATCGTCAAACACGGCTTGAAACTCCTCCAGAAGCATCTGCTCCATCCTGTTTGCGTCCGTTTGGCCTTCTGGAAGGCCCGGATCATTTTCGTATTGGCCTCCTCGTGACTCTGGTACTCGCCCTTGTCCAGCGCCTTCTGGATCTGCGACCGCGAGAGCTTGCCCAGGGTGGACTTGGGGAGCAGATCGCGGTCGAGAGGGAGCACGTAAGGGCGCGCACCGGTGAGCAGCAGCATTGTCCAGGTAATCGCACCCAGGGCTTTGACTCTCGCCTCGACATTGTCTGGCGGGTAGGTCGGAAGGTAGATGACGCAGAGCTGCTCTGTCTGAGCTCCGGGCGGCCAGCGCGAAAGACATACAGTGTAGCTCGGGGTCACCCCGTCGATATTTGCGTCTTCGATGGCCGACTCGAGCTCGTGCGGCCGGTACTTCACGCCGTTGATCGAGATCACCTCCTTCGTCCGCCCCGTGAGGCTCAGATTGCCCGCAGGATCAATGACCGCAATGTCTCCGGTCTTGAACCATCCATCGGACGTGAATGCCTCGCTCGTCGCGGCCTCATTGTGATAGTACCTCGCGAAGACGATCGGGCCTCTCACCTCCAGGTTTCCAGGCTCATCTGGCTGGGCCAAAGTGCCGTCCCCGGAGAAGGACGATACACGCATTTCAATGCCCGGGACGCATTGTCCCACCGAGGCGAACTCACGTTGGCGATCGAGATCGTACTCCGGACAGCTCCGGTTGTGGATGCATCCTGCACAGGTCTCTGTCATTCCAAAGCCCGGAACGATCACGTTCCTGGGGGCGCCGTGCCGGACAAGAAGCCGGGAAACCGCGTCACATGTCTCGACGACGTTCGCTTCGCCGCCGGACGCGATGTAGTGGAGGCAGCTCAGATCAAAGTCCCTGGGCGCCGTCTGACTTTCCATCCAGCGCCGCAGCTTCTCCAGGAAGAAGTTTGGCGCAGACGTTTTCCCGACTCGGTGACGGTGGATCATCTCCAGGAACAGTGACGGGTCCGCGATGACGTCCGAGGGCTGCAGGTGGATTTGCTCCGCGCCGATGAACATGGCCTGGAGGTGGATCTCGACCAGACTGGCGACATGGTCGAGCCCGATCCAGTTCAGAAGCGCGAATCGGTTCTCCACCGGAAGGCACAAGCTCTTCCCAGCAAGGGCGGCGAGGATTCGGCTATGCGTCAAGCAGACGGCCTTCGCGTGTCCCGTACTCCCCGACGTCAGCATCAGAAGGGCCAAATCTTGCTGTTTGGCCGGGACGACGCCAACAGATCCCGACAAGCGAGGGAAGCAGTCGACCTCTCGCAGCCGGAGAATGGGGTCGTCCGGAAACTGGTCCCGCAAGGTCGATTGTCGAACAGCTCCCGGAGATGGAGGAGATGCTGCTTGCGGTGTTCTTCGCTTCTCACAAACGGCGTCGACATAGCCGGGATACATCCGGCGTACAGAGTGGCCCAGAACCAGATAATGTTGTCCAGATGGCTGTCGAAATGCAGGAGGAGGACCGAGCCTGGGATGAAACCATCCATCCGACGCAGCAGCTCACTGTTCTGCTGGGCCAATTGGCGAAGCTGATCGTACTTCAAGCGATGGCAGGAATTTGGGTCCCCGAGAGGGTATGCGGAGACACCATGGGCAGCATGCTTGTTGGCCGCTACCTCGAGGAGGTCGGTGATGTATCGCAGGGACATGGTTGAGGTTGAATCAGCCACGAACAATGCAGAACGAGCAGAGCAGAGCGCAAGTTGGGACGATGAGTTGGAGCATCCAGCTGGCGGACATGGGCTGTGATGGCGATATAAGGCATCCCCACGAGTCATGGGACGTACGGTCCGAATAGGAAGAAAGCGCGCTGCAGAGGTTGTACAGTGCTTCCAGATGGGAACGGTCGATCCTTCCAGCTGCAAGTCCAGAATGTCTGGGAAAGCACGAGAGGTTCTGGTCTGATGAGATTGCGCCTTTTTTATGACTCGACATGTTCAGAAGGGAGGCTTTCGAGACACCATGGGTGAGTAGATGTCTTGGTGTAGTTCCATGTCTGAGTCTGTACAACTGATTGGAGCAGATAACGTTCTCGTGCGCGTGTACGCTATGTCGACCATTCTCGCCTGATGCTGTCGTATAGGGCGTACTGTCAAGAATGGATGATGATCTCGTCGGTCTTGAAGCGGTCATGCGCAAGAAGCAGACAGTTCTGGTCAAGTCAAGCTGGACAAGCAGAGCTGTTAGCTAATCATTGAGTCCAGCTCGAGACAACCTCAGACTGACTATTGTCGTAGTCACAGTATTTTCTCCGTTTCGGTGATGGTACACGTACCAGGGAGAAGTGCAACAGTTGATCACCATCTCATCCACCGTTCTCGTTTAGAGCGTGGAAACGAAGCTAGAAGTCTAGGGAAGATCCTCGACTCTCGAAGCGAATTTTCCTGCAGGGCTGTCCCTGCTGATTCTGGTAACAAGGCCAGGTCTGGTTTCTGTATGGATTCTATCTATCTATTACGGGTATCTTGCTGCGCCTGTGTAACCCCAGCACTGTTAATAAGCTTCTAGAACTTCTGCCCAGTCAGTCCAGAGTAGTGGAATGATGCCCCATGGGGTGTCAGCTGCATTTCAGTCTGCAGGGAACTGGGATTTCGGCCAGACTTGCGCGTCACGCCGTGGTAGGTGGTGTACAGGGTTATATTGGAAGTGAAGGCATTGCCCTAGGGAGGGCTAACTGAAGTCAGCATTCTTCTCGTCTGATGGCTACCAGGAACTTGGGAAGAAACGTCGCCGCTGTTACCTCCTCCAGTCATAATTACTTCCCGTTTTGGTAAAAAGCGTACCGTGGTAGATGATATCCCAGCAGAAGCCAAAGCAGAGACATGTCTTTACAATAGAATTCTTTAGATGTAAAGCTATTAAGCAAAGACAAACAATGACGTAGAAACATGGCTTGATTCCAGACTATTATACCATCAGGGTGCGCGTGGTCTTGTAAATTTAAAGTGTATGTAGTACATACTTTCTATCTTCCCCTCTGTTTTTGGTTATTATTTTCCAGAATGTTAGAATAACCTTAATGATTGTTACCCATCTGCATCTATATATATAGCAGCAGTGTTCATTCAATTCCGGTAGTAACGACCTGTAAAAAAAAAAACAAAGGGGATATATGTAGGTTCGAACGTTCTCTGCGTGTTGAGTTTACAGTCAGTATTATCCTAGATCCTACATAGTAGATTCTAGATCCTAGATCCCACAGTAATACTGTCTCAGTACTACACTCCACTACGCATTTGCATTTCTTTGTTCTGTTCCCAAACCTTTTTTTTCTGCTGCTGTTCTGCGACCCCCTCTTCGTCTCTGTCTTGTATTACCTTCTCTTTTATTATCTATCCTTTACAACCCCCCCCCCCCCCCCCCCCTCTTTTTTTTTGGCTGCCATTGTTACCAACCTTATCCTTCTTCCCCCTCCTTCTACACTTTAACTTTTTTTTGTGTGTCTGTGTGTGTACTACCTCTGGGGAGTGGCAGTGGCACTATATTAAGTGCAGTAGGATGTATGTATGTTCTGTATGTACATGCATACACTGAAGTCTTTACCATGTTTTTTTTTTCCCCTTTTCTTTTTTTAAAGAAAGAAAAGGTGTCATATGATCGATTGATCGATCATCGTCATCAATTCTTGACTTACATTAGATTTACATCAGATTCTTAGCTCTCAGTATTAAGGCTTGGTTAGGTACATACATATAGCTGGACAAAGTCTCATTTGTCTATCTGTTCGTTGCATTGTATCATTCAGTCAGTCACTCACTCACTCACACGTGGATAGGATAGGATAGGATAGGATAGGATAGCATATACCAAGTAAACCATTTCTATTCTATCGACAGGATTCTATTCGTCTATTTCTTTTCTCTTCTTTTCTTTATCTTTCTATCCTTTCATGCCAAATGCAATTCTAGACAATTCATTCATAGGGATATAGGGATCTGCTCGTAGTCGTTCATCTCGTGCAATATTATTAATACCTAAATCATCAGTAGTAAAGACGAGTCGTGTCGTTCTTTGAGCTGGTTAGTTATGGAATAAATATGGCAGATCAGTCAGTATCAGTAGGTGTAGCGGAATCCGGGCTGGATTTGTAATAATTCATTAGTATCAATCATACTGGCATTGCTACTGTTTAGGCTGTTTGTCAGACGTACCCTCCCTTCGATCACCGTCCGGCCCTGGCTCTGCTTTCGATTGCTCATGTAGAAGTGGATTGTGAAGAGGCCGATGATTACGATCATCAGGATGTGTGAGCTGTTTATTCTAATATCAGCTGACGTGTTTGAGTAGAGAATCCTCGGGTATGAATACCCACCCAATTGACACCCACACCGCCGTCTGATACTCAGGCGCCTCTTGCGCCCGCACGATGAAGCTCCCCGCGATCCCGCCCAGCCCGTTGCATGCCGTGATGGCCGCCGCCGTGGTCGCCCGCTTCCACTGCCCGACGATGTTGTTCGCCTGGTACGCGTTCAGCGCCGCCCAGTTCGACACATAGGCCCCCGTCGCCAGATACGTGCCGATGTACCGCACCGTGACTTGCTTGGACACTGGTAGGCCGAACATCAGGAAGCCGGCAATGAGCATCAGCGCGTTGAGGGTGATTAGGGGCCCGCGCATGCGGTATCGATCGCCGATCAGCGAGGTGAAGAGGACGGGGATGACGGCCCAGTAGTATGGCTACGGAGATATCAGATGCAAATCGAAGAAAAGAAGAAGAAAAAGAAGAAGAAAGAACGTACCGGCGCAGACAGAACAATCGACGCATTCTCGGAAAATCCCATGCCCGACTGCAGAATGATGGGCAGGAAATACGACAGAGACGTCGAAACCAGGTTCAGCAGGAAGAAAAGACACGAAAAGCCGTACAGTTTCGGATCGAGGAAGTGAACCAGGACCTTGGACCACGAGAACGGCTCGAGCAGGACGTCGTCTCGATCAGCCTGGATCCGCTGCGTCGCCAACTCAATCTCCGCGTCGGACAGAAACCAGACGCTGTGGTGCGCCTTTTCGGGGAAATCGACCATCCACCAGTACGTGACGATGCTGATGACGCAGGTGATGAGCCCCTGCACGATGAACATCCAGCGCCACCCCGCCAGTCCGGCGCGGCCGTCCAGGTGGTTGAGACCGTAGTTGACGATGTTGCCAGTCGCCAGCACGAGCACCTCGCCCGACTGCAGGAAGGCGAAGCGCAACTGCTGCTCGCGGCGCGTGTACCAGGTGCTGATGAGATAGGTCAAGCCCGGGTAGATGCCGGACATGGAGATGCCCAGCAGCACGCGCAGGGCGACCATCTGGCGCCAGGTCTGCACGAAGGCGGAGCAGAGGGTGAACAAGCCGAAGCAGAAGGTGATGAGGGCGAACCAGAGGCGCGGACCAACCAAGCGCACAGCCACAGTTGACGGCAGCTGGAAGACGACGCTGGCGACGGTGAAGATGAAGATGGCAACCGAGTAGCGGTTCCCTTCCAGCTGCAGGTCGTGCAGCATGCTCGTCACCGACGCGGACGAGATGATGCCCGAGTCGAGCAGGTTGAGGCTGCACAGGATGCCGGCAATGGAGCAGAGGCGCAGATCGACCTTCAGGCGCAGGCGCTTTTCGAGCCGTTTGCGCTGTTCTGCATCGATGTTGTCCTCCGTCAGGCGGATGCGAAGATCGTCCAGTGCGTCATTTTTGCCCACGGGGCTCTTTAGCTGCGTCGCCAGAGTGTGGACGTCCATGTCAGCTGCGAATTGGCGCATTAGAGCTCCCAGAATCTCTTTCTTTGTTTCTGTCGAAGGACTCGTCCTACGTCATGTCCTACCCTCGTCGAGGCTTGAAAGAGATGAGGAGACAAACGTCACTGCATTGAGTTTACGGGCACATTGGCACATGTACAGGTATCACAAGAGAGAATCAAGCGAAAGAACGAATGCGCAGTAATCTGGTTGTGGTGAAATGATAGCGAAGTCGATGTCCACCTTGCGTGTCTCGTGACTTGCCCAATCACTGCGAAGAACCTTCACCGGCCAGCGGTGCTCGCCATTCTGAATCTCGATCTGATAACAGCAGCTCTTCTGTTGTCGTTAATGTGCTTACTCTGCCCCTCACTGTCGATGATTCCTAAGGCATACTCCGTAGTCTCTATCTATCCTGGCGACTCTCGGTGGATCTTCCGCTGGCGGGGTCCCGCGAAGCTTGACAGCTGGCCACAGACCGCAATCGACCTCCATCGACTCAGTCAACCTCACGATGCGAAATAGCCATTCTGCTGGCTAGCATCGGCTCCATCGCCTCCATACGCATCCTCCAGCGACCGTGGACTGCTAGACGCGGAGTGGCGCCTGGGCCAGCAGCCCCACGCCGTCGTCGTCCATCGCCGTTACGTCCGGGCAAATGGAACCTGCGCGGACGGCCGGCCGTCCCCAGCGTCCTCGCAGAGGGGGCGCCTCCTCACGGTGAGTGCCTGCTCTCTGCTGCTTTGCTTTCTTTTAAACGCTTGTTTTCGTTCTGTCAATTGTTCTGCCTTTCTGCCCTCGGTTACCCGGTCCCTCTCCGGTGGTCACCAACCCCAGACGACATCCGATCAGCCCGTGCGAGGGGAATACAAGAATACAAGCTGATCGAGTACTCCATCAAGCACACCCTCCAAGATGGTCGAGTTGATTCCTCCTCCCGATCCCCGCACTCTGCTTCCCCCGTTGCTGGCCTGTCTGCCGGCCGCCTTTGTCTCGACCCGTCCTCCCCCGGCGCTTCTTCCCCTGCTCTCGCCGATTCTCCGACAGCGCGTCCAGATCCTGAGCTCCGTCGCGACCTCTCCCTCCGATTGCTGGATTCGGCTGCTGTGCTGGGGCGACGAGAAAGCGGACCGCGTGCAGAGCTTGCTCGATGGGGCCGACTTTGAACCGCATGCCGCGTCGGGGAAAATCGAGGTCCCGGACGACTTGCCGGTGACATACAAACGACTGGACGAGGAGACGCTGCATTCGCAGATTGTGCTGCCGCAGTACAATCTCAGTGTGCTCTATCTCTGGTGTCCCAACGACCAGCAGGGGCCGGGCTGGAGGGTCGCTGAGTTGCTCCCCCGCGAAGGCCCGTCCGACGACGATGCCACCTGGTCGACATCGATCGGGGAGGCCAATGAGCGGGCAAGGGAACGGTTGATCGAGGAGGCTCTGAAGAATGCCGAACAGCAGGAGAGCAGGGCACCTCCTCCCCAAGCCGCCAATATCAACGACGACGACGACGACGATGATGATGATGCTTACTGGGCACAATACGACAACACGCCGGGCAGGACCCCGGCGATCAAGACGCCGGCGCCTCGCACCTTTGCCTCGGTGCCTGCCGTCTCAGAGGATTCCTACTTTGCACGATATGCCGACGTCCAGCCTGCCATGGACCACGATGACCCCTCCCAAGACCCCGCCGAGGTGGGCGTGTCGTCCCTCAACGGCAACATCTTGGCCAACTTGCTCCAACAACACGCTCAAAGTCGCGAGGCGAAAGATGGGCAGCCTGCTGGCCAGGCACCTCATGATGCGGTTGCGACGATGCTGAGCCACCCCCGGCCGGCGTCCACGTCGTCGTCGGGATCGGACGCGGTCGCCAAGTTGGAACAGGAGGCCGAGAGCCAGTCAGCGTCGGAGATGGCCGTGAAACAGCATATTGGCAGCAGCATCAAGAGCTTGTTCCGACTCGCGAGAAGCACGGGCATGGCCCGGGAGGAATTTCAGTCTCTCGTCCGGACGGAGCTGGAGCTGCTGAACTTGGCTGATGACGAGTAGGATGATGCCTGTGTGTGTTCTTTTTTGTTGCCTGCATTGAGCCAGCGGAGCGAGAGTTTCATGCTGTTTACATATCACCATTGGGAACGGCGTCACGGCTTTCTGATTAGCTTGTACCTTAGCATTGGATTATGGATTACTGGATTACGGATTCAGCGAGGATTTTTTTTGGTACAATATTTTCTACCGAGGTCAGAGTGTATATAAGCCAATGCCATGGACAGAAGCGATATTCCAATTGTAATATTCAAATGTAATATTTCAGAGTAATAATTAATTGAGCTTGCGTGTCTCTAAATACGTCCGGGCGGGTCTGCTTGGCGCTGATTGCACGTCCGCCAAACGACACGCAACACTCTCAGCTCAGCTCCGACTCCCTTCTACCACCATCGGCTCGCACCTCGTCTGTTCGTTCTGCTCTATGATGCTGCTTCATTAATTGTAAGTGGTCTCTGCTGCCTGTTTATGAAGTGACTAACTCCTCCGCAACGGCGTGTGCCAGCCTCTCGTTCGCCATTGACCTCCTGTCCGCCCAGCATGTCTTCCCCGTCGGCATCCCTCCGCAAGAGGGCCGTTGGGAAGAAAGACGCCTCCCCAGCGCCCTCTGATGCGGTTTACGCGCCTTCTGGAAAAGCGGCTGCCAAGCCGCCGTCGGAATGGGACTACCAGCTCGCGTTCGTGATCGTGACGCTGCTGGCTTTCGCGACTCGCTTCTACAAGATCAGCTATCCGAACGAGGTGGTGTTTGACGAAGTGCATTTTGGCAAGGTTCGTTGTGTACTCTCGTGCTCGATTGAATGATCAGGTTCCCTGACGGTATGCTAGTTTGCGTCGTATTACCTGACACGCACGTATTTCTTCGATGTCCATCCTCCCTTTGGCAAGCTCCTCTACGCCCTCGTGGGCTGGCTGGTCGGCTACGATGGCCACTTCCTGTTCGACAACATCGGCGAATCCTACATTGAGCACAAGGTGCCGTATATCGCCCTGCGGGCCCTGCCAGCGACGCTGGGATCGCTGACCGTGAGTGTCGTCTTTTTGATTATGTGGGAGTCGGGATACTCGCTCCCGGCGTGCGTCCTGGCGTCGGGCCTGATGGTCTTTGACAACGCCCACGTTGGCGAGACGCGGTTGATTCTGCTGGACGCGTGCCTGGTGTTGAGCATGGCCCTGAGCATCCTCTTCTACATCAAGTTCTACAAGGAACGGCACCAGCCCTTTGGACGCAAGTGGTGGAAATGGCTCCTCCTGACGGGCATCAGCCTGAGCTGCGTCATCTCGACCAAGTACGTCGGCCTGTTCAGCTTCATCACCATTGGCTCCGCCGTCGTGATCGACCTGTGGAATCTGCTGGATATCAACCGTCGCGGCGGCCCGCTGTCGCTGGTGCAGTTCGGCCGCCACTTCGCCGCGCGCGCGTTTGCCTTGATCATCGTTCCCTTCTTCTTCTACCTGTTCTGGTTCCAGGTCCATTTCAGCATCCTCACGCGGTCCGGTCCCGGAGATGAATTCATGACGCCCGAGTTCCAGGAGACGCTGGCGGACAACCAGCTGGCGGCGTTGTCGCGCGACATCCACTACTACGACGTCATCACGATCCGGCACAAGGACACCAAGAGCTACCTGCACAGCCACTGGGAGCGCTACCCTCTGCGGTATGACGACGGGCGGATTTCGAGCCAGGGACAGCAGGTGACCGGGTACCCGTACAACGACACCAACAACCAGTGGCAGATCCTGCCGCGCGTTCCTCTCCCCGAGAACGACCGGGTCGGCCATCCGGTGCGGAACGGCGATATCGTCCAGCTCCGGCACCTGGGCACCGACAGCATCCTTCTGACGCACGACGTGGCCTCTCCGTACTACCCGACGAACCAGGAGTTCACGACGGTGCCGCAGGAGCTGGCCGACGGGGAGCGGCACAACGACACGCTGTTCGAGATCCGGATCGACGGCGGCAAGCCCGGCCAGCAATTCAGCACGTTGATGAGTCTCTTCCGGCTGATCCACGTGCCGACGCGCGTGGCCATGTGGACGCACACGACGCCGCTGCCCGACTGGGCGTTCAAGCAGTTCGAGATCAACGGCAACAAGAACGCGCAGCAGGTCAGCAACCTCTGGTTCGTCGAGGAGATCACGTCGCTGGAGCCGGGCAACCCGCGTCTGCACAAGCCGCCGCGCCAGGTCAAGCAGCTGCCCTTCATCCGCAAGTGGGCGGAGCTGCAGCGGGCCATGTTCTTCCACAACGCCGCGCTGACGGGCGAGCATCCGTACGCGAGCGAGCCTTTCCAGTGGCCGTTCTTGCTGCGGGGGGTCAGCTTCTGGACGAAGAACGACACACGCGAGCAGATCTACTTCCTGGGCAACCCGATCGGCTGGTGGATTGCGAGCAGTCTGCTGGCGGTGTATGCGGGCATTGTGGCGGCGGATCAGCTGTCGTTGAGGCGGGGGATTGACGCGATTGAGGAGAGTAAGTGACTGCATTGGCATTGAGTCTTTTTTGTCAGACTAACTTTTGTAGTCTGGGGTCCTGGAGCTCGATCGCGACTGTACAACAGCACGGGCTTCCTGTTCCTCTGCTGGGCAGCGCACTACTTCCCATTCTGGCTGATGGGCCGCCAGCGGTTTTTGCACCACTACCTGCCGGCGCATCTGGCGTCGACGCTGGTAGCGGGGGCACTGATCGAATTCATCTTCAACTTCCAGCCCATCGCACCGCCTCGCGCAGCGGAGGACGATCCGTCGGGCAAGAACAAGAACGCGGCTCCGGGACGGTTCATCACGGCCAAGGAGCGGATGGGCCGGCAGTCGTTCATAGCGGGATGGAGTGCGACGGCGGTGATTCTGGCGGCGACCATCTACGGGTTCGTGTTCTTTGCGCCGTTGACGTACGGCACGCCAGGGCTGGATGTGCAGGGAGTGAACGCTAGGAAGTGGCTGTCGTACGACCTGCACTTTGCGAAGTAAAACAAACACCAGGTGAAGGTGGAAGTTGGTCTAGATTGAGAAGATCAGCGTGTAAACATTGCTAAATCAGAAGAACCAGAGCTGTACTGTACGATAGGGAGATAACATTTATAGGAATCTAATCTAATTGTTTGCTTAGTCACAGTCATCTATCAGCTAGTTACAATTCCCGTCTGGCATTGCCGAGGCGATCAACCGCCCGAGTGTGGAGTAAGTAAGTAACCAGCTGTGCGGGAAACAGCTGTAAACAGTAGAAAGAAAAATAGAAATAGAAACAACAGCTAAACATGGGATTTTAATAGAAGATAGTATGCAGACTGTCTGCATATGGACCATACCATACTATGCTATACCATGCTATACTGTAATCTCGACAGATAGATAGATAGAACTGCTAACCCTAGAACTCTCTCGGCATGAATACCTGTATATACATACATACATACATACATACATACATACATACGCAGTATTTACTTACACTGCAGAGTTGGTTCACCCAGTGTCCTATCCTATCTTATCGTGCAGGTATGTACATTACATACACGTATTCAAGTCTCAAGATGATACGCGTATGCATATGTATATATCAGTGTTATCATCAACTAACTGATAAGAAAAGACTGTCTATCTTCTCTATTATCCCCACTTTTCGAAAACACCCGACTGCGGCCTGCCTGCCTGCCTGAAGTAGTAAAAGTCCGGACTTGGCATCAATCAGTCAATCAGTGGCACAGTACAGTGCAGGGATTATAATGATTACGATAGATCGGCAGAGAGTTAGAGTTGGACAGACTGCCTGTGCATGCAGAATGCAGATAAGGCAGAATTTAGCAGGTGTCTATATGCATAAATATCTGCGGAGTAATATGTAATAAATATGAACAGCCTGGTTGAGTATTTTGCCTAGTTAGCTACTTACTATCTATCTCGTCTACAGTGATATCTCATCTAGATATATCTTCCTGTGTCATTTACTCTTTTGTTTATTTATTTTTTACTACCTATTGATCATCATACCAAATAAATAAATACATATAAATATGAATTTTATAAAAATGCCCAATTGGAAGACCCTGCGAAAGAAACTGCAAGTGTAAGTCTTCACATACATACCAAATCCACTCACTCTCTTGACTTGACAAGACACTCAATAATCCCTACTGATCTTAATCCTTACTGATCCTGATCTTGATGACCAGCCCAATCGACCAAAACAGCTACTACCAAAACACCGCCTGGTGCAACCGCGACCTGATCCCCATTCCGCCCGAGCGCCGCACATGGGGGATTTGGGGGTATTTCGGTGAATATATTCACTGAAGAATTCAATATTGTCTGCGACGCTGACTAACAGCTGATGAAGGGTACTGGACCGTCTCCGGCTCTTGTATTAGTGCTTGGTCGACGGGGTCTACGCTGCTGGCTTTTGGGCTTAGTCCGAGGGAGGCGATTGGGTGTGTGGTGCGTCAAGTCTCATCTTAATTCTGGCAAAAACTTGCATATTTATTTACTTACTTACTTATTTGTTTGTTTATTGGCAGATTGCAGGAGGACTCCTCACAGGCCTGCTCGCTGTGGCCTGTGGCTGGATGGGCGAAAAACATCATATCGGGTTTACCGTCGCGTCGCGGTTTTCGTGGGGGATGCGAGGGTCTTATTGTGAGTATACTTACAGATATATAGAGTATATTATGTTGTTCTGAGGCTTTGGCTAATCTGCAGTCCCGGTGTTGATTCGCATCTTTGTTGCTTGTATGTGGTTTGGGATGCAGTCGTATTGGTTGGTGTCCTGTATTATACCTATATCTATTAGATATATGTGGATATATGATGATTCTCAGGGGCGGCCAGGCTACTCGAGTCCTTATCGGCGCCATCATACCAGGCAGGTCAGCAGGCTGATATGTGTATTTCTCTGATGCTGATGCTGCTGACAGGCTTCGCTCACATGAAGAACTTCTTCTCTGAAAGCTCGCATCTCGCCACAAACGACTTCATCGGCATGCTCATCTGGTATGCGGCCTTTGTCCCGCTGGTCCTGGTCAAGCCTGAACGGCTACAAGTGCCGTTTGCCGTGTCGTTCGTCCTGTTTGCTACGTCCTGCTTTGGGATTCTCATCTGGTAGGTTACACTCTTGACTTGACTTGACTTGACTCGTCTTGACGTGGTTATTGGTAGGGCCGTCGTCAACGCCCACGGCCCCGGATCCATGTTCACCACCACCCCCTCCACCATCAACCCCGGCTGGGGCATCATGTACGGCATCACCGCCATCCTAGGGGCCTGGGGCGCCGGCACCCTAGGCCAGTCCGACTGGACGCGCTACGCCAACCGCCGCTTCGCGCCGACGCTGTCGCAGCTGGTCGCCGCGCCGGTGACCATCGCCGTCACGGCCGTCGTCGGCATCGTCGTCACCAGCGCCGCAAACGACCTCTTGGGGCAAGTCGTCTGGAACCCGATCTATCTGCTGGCGGATATCCAGGAGTATTACCATTCGAGTGGGCGTGCGAGGGCAGGCGTGTTTTTTGCGTCGTTGGGTATGGTCTCGACGCAGTTGGCTGTAAGCCTCCAAACAAAGACATTGATTATTTCTATGCTGATAACGTAGATATCCGTCGTGCTCAATTCCGTCTCTACAGGCATGGACATGGCAGGTCTGTGTCCGCGCTACATTAACATTGTCCGAGGGAGCTACATCATGGCCATTATAGGGATTTGCACGCAGTCAGTTACCTCGTCTTTCATCACGAATGCTTTTTCCTAACATGTCCAGACCGTGGCAACTCCTCTCCGCCGCTACCAAGTTCCTCTCCGTTCTGTCCGGGTTTGGTGTGTTTATGGCTCCGTTGACGTATGCAACCCATACATACCTATGCACATACATATGTGTATGTACATACATATACTAATCTCGACTAGAGGAGTCCTCCTCGCAGACTACCACATCGTCCGCCGCCACCGGCTCAACCTCCACGATCTCTACACCGGCAACCCATCTTCCATCTACTGGTATTTCCACGGCTTCAACTGGCGGGGTCCAGTAGCTTTTGTAGCGGGGATGTGGGCGTTGCTGCGTGAGTGAGCCAGCAGTTGCATCGTACATACGTCCTTCTCACTAACATTGTTTTGTTTTATTCTTTTGCAGCCGGCCTAATCGCCACCGTCAACAACGACACTAACAACCCTAGCCTCACAGGCTGGATCAGACTGTACAATCTGACTTTTCTTGTTGGCCTGGCTGTTAGTTTCACGGCTATGGCTGTCCTGGGGTATCTGTTTCCGCCGCCGGGGCTGGGATTGCAAAAGCCGTTTGTTGTTGAGGGGGAGGAACCGGGTAGTAGTAATAAAATTGAGGAGGTGGCGTCTACGTCTGGGAAGATGGAGAAGGAGGGCAAGGGTAATGAGGGCGATAGTCAGGTGTAGATGTATCTTCATCAAACTTCCTTAGTAACTTTTGAAAGGGATGGAATTGGATCAAATTAGATAATGAATGGATGAAAATAGCCCTTTTCTTTTTCTTTTTCTTTTTTCTTTTCTTTTCTTTATTTCTTTCTTTTTTTTCCCAATCTACCTGTTCTTATATACCCATGGATGAATCTCCGTCATTAGTGTATTGATACAGACTAGACACTCAATTTTTTTTTTGCAAGACTTTCTATTTATGTTCATACATGCTTAGGTAGGTAAGTTTCGAATACTTACTCCGGAGTACTAGACTAGCACGCTGATGAAGACAGTGACAGTTCTGTTAACCCCTTTTTTTTTTCACCTTATTAACTGTGTACATTATGGGAGTAATTTTTCCTTTCTAAATAGACGAGTTTATTTATATATAGAGTTTTAATTGATGCTGGTCTTGATCTTCATTGATTCGTTCATTTTTTTTTCCTTTCTGTTTTTCAATCCAGACTTGTGCTCGAAGCAGCTAGCTAGTGAAGCTTTACCTAGAAACATAGCTAACTAATAATGTGGATGTGACATTCATTCCAGTACTATGTACGACTCGAGCTCACGAACTCACCCACTCAGTCTTCTGCTGCATGCAGAATATCTCGAGCAATTACGATACAGATCAAGTGACCACTGGCAATTCTTCATCCGAACCAATAATGAAGATTCACTTCTGAAAAATGCTGTGTCAGTGCGCAATTCCCACCAAACACGATCCATATCCTCAAGCCAAGGCTGCATTTCTGCATTTAAGGTTCTATAGGTTCTGCCTGTCGACGCGGAAGCGCGGCCATTGTTCCGCGCGAGGCTATCTATCTGCACGAGCGGCCAGTTAGAGACCAGCTGCAGTCTAGGCAGTCTAGCAGCTGAGCTAATTACCAATGGTGTAGTGGGTGGGTGCATGGTGCATAGTCGTCAGCAGAGCACTCAGTGTTGAAGAGTGACTTTTATCACGGTATTATCTCCATCTGCTTGACTGTTTCTTCTGCTTGCGTTCACCATGGCTGAGAATTTGCACGCTCAGAATAATCCTCCTGCTGGGAATGCCCTCGAAGTAGATGTGAGAATCGACCTGAATAACGAGAATATGTACAGTACAGCACCGCTGACAGGCGTAGGAGAATAATGACGTTGACTCGGCGTACAATGATTCGTGAGTGAAAACAAACCACCGACCTGACGATAATTCTGCTCGTCTGACTTTCGCAGCATCGGCACGGCCAGCTACATGACGTCGCTCAGTTCGAGCATCGTCAACTACAAGTATGTCGTTGTGTATTGTATGTACACTATATATCTGCTCTAACAACCGGCTTGTGACGATAGATACGAGGTGAGTAAGATAAACCTCCAGGTAAGATATGTACGCATGCTAACTGTCATGCCAGAATGGCCGTCGCTACCATGCCTTTCACGAGGGGGCATATGTTCTGGTTGGTAGACTCCGTCAAATCAATTTTTCTTTTACAGTCTGACTGTTCCAGCCGAACGATGAAGAAGAGCAAGACCGGATCGACCTTCTGCATCATATCTATCGCCTTCTCCTCGGTGGGGAGCTGTTCCTTGCCCCCATCGGTGCGAATCCGCAGCGGGTTCTGGACCTGGGGACCGGGACGGGGATCTGGGCGATTGAGTTTGCAGAGTAGGCTGTTATTAAGCAGTCATTAAGCAGGTATTAAGCTAATATGAATGCTGATATTAATCTGTAGTCAATATCCCTCTGCGCAAGTGATCGGTACCGATCTCAGCCCGATCCAACCTCGCTGGTCAGTATTCTCCATCTATTGTCAAACATACTGGGGCACAAAAGAGAAGACTAGGTTATCTAGTGAACCCCTAGTGTGAATGATAGTTGCCCAGGTTGATAGATATCCTGCTTACCTCTGATAGGGTCCCTCCCAACTGCGTCTTTGAAATCGACAACTTCGAGAACGACTGGGTGTACAGCAGCAAGTTTGACTTTATCCACGGCCGGGAATTGGAAGGCTGCGTCTCCGACGAAGACAAGCTCTTCGCCCAGGCATTCCACCACCTCAAGTCCGGCGGATACTTTGAATTCGACGGAGCGTACACGTACTGGCTCTCCGACGACGACACGGCCCAAAAGGCGGAGAACTGTCAGCTGCTGGCGGCCAAAATCCACGAAGCGGCCAACAAGTTCGGCAAGAGCTTCGACAACGTGCCCTCGTGGAAAGCGAAGATGGAGAAGGCGGGGTTTGTCGACGTGAAGGAGTTTGTTTTTAAGGTTGCTTCACCCTCAATCTGACCTATTTTTCTATTCTAATTGCTGGGTTGTAGAAACCCGTCGGCTCCTGGCCCAAAGACCCCAAGATGAAAGAGATTGGCCGCCTCCAGCAGGCGCAGCAGCTCCAGGCCATCCAGTCGTATTCGTCCGCGCTGTTCTCGCGCGTGCTCGGCTGGAGTAAGCCGGAGCTCGAGGTGTTGCTGGCCAAGGTCCGGAATGAGCTGATGGATCGGTCGTTGCATATGTATGTGCCGGTGTATTTTGTGTATGGGCGGAAGCCGTGACATGTTTTCTCACGCATTTCTTTTTTTTTTCTTTTTTTTTATTTCTTTTTTCATTTTATTATTTTTTATTATTTTTTTAACAAAAATATTGATCAGCGTTGATCAGTTTCTGGAGTAGTTTAATTTCTTTCCCAGCGAGGATTGTACTGAAATGAAAGCTTTTATTTTATGCTCGGGTTTTATTCGCAATGGGATTTCTCAGTCTTCGCATATATGCTTCCGCCAAAGAATAAATAAAAAATAAATAAAAATAAATAAAAAACAAAGAATAAAAAAAGATCGTCTGATAAGTGGCCTGTTCTACAGCATTAAATGGAACTGTGGAGTACTCCGTACAGATGAAATGATAAAATCACTCATTCAGTTGGCTCCACTGTACTTTATCTACGGAGTACTCCGTACGGAACAGAATCGATGAGATTCTAATCTGGCCAATGAACTGGGCACATGCCAGCTGGGCATATCCAAGCCTGGTAAAGAGGAAGCTCACTAGACTGCCTGCCTAGGGATAGCGGCCCCATCGCGGGGATTTTGGGGGGATTTTGATTGCTGATAACGCTGCGATTGCGGATATGCCCGACGGCAGCCGGCTAGTATAGTAACGTTGCAGCGGGATTTTAGATTCGATCATGGCTAGATCCGTATTTATTTAAGATCCGCCCCAGTATCTATCTCATCTCAATTGGGGCTTACTCTCAATTGACATTGCTGATCCTGTATAATTTCCGCCATGATCCGCGCAATTGCTGCCGTCGCCTTTCTCGGCGGCGCTGTCTCCGCATCGCTGTATGGCGAGAGCAACCTGAACCATTCCTGCGTGCTGAGTTGGTGCTTTCTCCACTGCCGCAAAATTCATCTCTAATCTATCTATCTACCTGCCAGGCGACCCCGTCTGGTCGTGCTCCGCCCAGGCCACCCCGGCCCATGTCGACACCTGCTGCTCCGAGACCTTTGGCGGCCTGGTGATGGCAACCCAGTTCTGGAACACGTACACCGGCCTCGAATCGCAGGGCCAGCTGCTGCCGGCCCAGAGCTGGACCATGCACGGCCTGTGGCCCGACTTTTGCAACGGCTCCTACACCCAGTACTGCGATCTCAGCCGGCAGTATGATCCGGCGCCGTCGCCGAATACGACGACCGGATTACCGAATGGTATGGAGTATTTGTAGTATAGTATGCTTTGTGGTCCGTTTCTGACTAACTCAGGCACCGTCGTGCCCCCGTGGACTGGTCCGACGATTGATACCTTCATCACCCCGTTCGGGAAGTACGATCTGCTGGCGTGGATGAACAAGTATGTCGCCATAACCATAGACGCCCTACTCAATTCGTCATGCTGACCTGCCAGATATTGGGTCAACCAAAACGCCCCCAACCACGCGCTCTGGGCGCACGAATTCTCCAAACACGCCACCTGCTACTCGACCTTCGACCTGCCGTGCTACGGGCCCAACGCGCCGCCGCACATCGACGTGCTGGACTTCTTCACCACGGCCATCAACTACTTCCGCCGGCACCCGACGTACCAGTGGCTCGCAGCGGCCGACATCACGCCGTCGAACAAGACCTCGTACACGCTGGCGCACATCCAGACGGCGCTGAGGCGCGCCAGCGGTGCCACGCCCTACCTCGGCTGCACGGGGCCGCGCTTCAACGAGACAGAGGCCGGTAAAGGGTCGCTGGACAACGGGTACACCGTCCTCGACGAGGTCTGGTACTATATGCATGTGCTGGGCCGCCCGCAGGATATGGTCAGCGTGCCGCTGGATGCGTCCATCGCTGCCGGAAGCGACACGACCTGCGCGAGGAGCGAGGGTGCTATCTGGTATTATGAGCGTGCGTCGGGGTCGGAGAGGCCGTAAGAAAAGTATAGATGTGCTTATGTATAGATATGTAGAATATGAAATTGAATTTGTGTAAATAGGCAATAAAGCTAAAACTACATAAAAAGAAAGAAGTTAGACTATGGCCTAGACTAGCCGGGAAAAGAGAAAACAGAGTCGTACCTTACTTTAATTTTACTACTTTGTAAAGGATAACGAGCAAACAAAAAAAAAGAGGAATTTGTTCATAAATTACGCTGGTACAGGATGAACTCTTAAAATGGATAGGGAGTTGATTAGTGGCTCATAAGACAACAAAAATAAAACTTTTTTTCGATACGTATAGTTTACATGTTTATTTATATTTAGAGTAATAGACGAAATTTGCAAAGTCATGAATTTTTGGTATTTATTTCTCTATCTAGTATCAGATTTCAGCTTTTGTATGTTGCCATATTATAATTACTCCTGAGGTGGAAGTTTCGCAATATACTGTACAGGAAATAAAAGTAAAATAAAGATAATAGCCCCTTCGTACGAAAGGAGTATATATACTTAGATCGAGGCAAAACGGACATGACGTTACTATCACACAACATACTAAGTTTTTTTTTTCGTCACAAAAAAAAATCTCTCTATCTGTAGAAATATATCTATCTTGCAGTATTTGTTTCCTTGACTAGTCAGTAATAATAACCCGAGACAACACTCAAATATCACATCATTATATCAGTTGTGATGAGAGTGTTAATTCGATAGGATAGGGTATTATATTATATCTATGAGAGCCATTCATTCATTGATCGATCGTGCTGGGAATCTTTTCTTTCTGCAAGGAATTAATTGCCTCTGTGAACAGGACAGCAGAGCATTTCCTGTCCTGTCGGCGCTGCTATCGGCGGAAGATGGAATTTGATCGCATGCTGTTGCTTTTGTGAGGTGTGCCTTGCCACTTTCTGGATGTCAGAGTGATTGCTATTGTGTGTTTTCCGTTAATATTATTATGTATGCAGACGGATCTTATCATTGAGTACTTTCTACTTTTTTTTTTCTTGCTTTTTTATTTTATTTTATTTTTTTTAAAAAAAAATTCATTTTTCAAAGAAGAGGAGGAAGAAGAAACCATGTTTTGACACAACTTACAGGTATGTACAGTAAATACATACATTAGTAGTCTAAAGAGGGCACTCAAGGAACTAATAATTAGAATGACAGACAGCTGCGGTCACAGATCTAGATCCGCAGCCATTCCATTCCATTCCATCCAGAGGCAATATTTATTCTCCTACTATCCTGAGAGTGATCTTTCTGCGTCCAGTGATGAGGACAAGGATGCAGGAATATTTTGATCGATTTGATGAACAACATCACCTTTCCTAGGGATCCTGCTATACTGTTTGGGGGTACTGAATATCGCTTTGTTGTGTAAGTTACATATTCTTGTTTCAAGTTAATCTAAGTTAACACCCACAGTCACTCCAGAGACCATCAAATGAAAATCCGACTCGGGACCAAAGCAACCGTCACGTCTAAAAATGACGGGGGACTCTTTCTAGTACGCCAAGGTTTCTATACAGGCTCTATGAGGCACGGGACAATTCCGGTGATGTCTTTCGAGGTAAGCAATTTGTTCTGACAGGCGAGTGTCGTGTATGTTCATCCTATTTAGACCAGCTTAGGCAAGGCGAAGACATGCAGGTGGTATACGCCGTCCAGCCGGGGAGCCAGAGGCATTTTCTCCCGACATTCTTGCCCAAGAAGTGTCGGAATTACTAGGTCAAGCTATGGAGCAAGCCGCCCAATTAGGACCTTGGAGTGACCGGGAGGCGTTTGTCCTCTCGATTCACGGAACACGGCTTCGGCTGATTGCAGCTCACTTTACGGCCAAGTACCTTTCGTGTGTTAACAGCGCCACGATGCCGACTACCGAGCACCTCTGGGTGAGACGGTCTAAGTGGTTTGATCTGAAGTTGGTTGCTGAGAGGCCTGGCGCACTTAAGCTATGCATGGGCATCTACGAATACCTGCGAAGAGGTAACGCTGAGGTCGCCCAACTACAGAAAGTTTTCGAGGAGACTTGATTTGTGCCCCGCAGGATTTTGGTATGACCTCCACAAACAGCGATTGCAGTTCTCCAACATATCGAAGAGCTTGAATATCTTCAATGGCGATAATGCACGTACTTTCTGACATCCCTTGCAGAGACTGTATGTATAGTACATGCCAGATAAGCAATAGGAACACTCAGGCTTTGTGTCAATGAAGACGATAAAATGATTTATAAATGTTTTAACTCTTTCAACCAACGTATACCTAAACGAGTCCCAGAGATGCCCTGAAAATCAGGACCACCCCATCACCCTGTATCTAAGACTAAGAATGGGAGGTCCCCTTGCTACATCTCTCCCTAAACAGAGTCTTCCACGAATCGCTGGCTAATTCTTCAATTTCTTGTCAAGGTCTCTCTCCAGATCTTCAAAGAGTTAAGGCAATTTTTTTTTCCTCATTGGAAATGGTATCATCAAGAGGTACAGTACATCGGCTTCAGCAAGGACCCGGTGCGAATTCTTCTTCGTCAGCTCTCTGATCGTCGCATTCGATGCGTTCTTATTTGCTTGGAGTTTGTATCGCTTTTGTAAGATTTGCCATTTTTGGTAATGGTCTCCCCATAAGGTTATCCTGCCACACTCACCCCGATACTGGAGTCATTCGTAGCCGTTCTGGTCGGCGCCGCTCGACTCCCAGGGTTCCCTCGCCCTTCGCAATACTGGTAGCTCGAGACGTGGTTGCGTTGACCCATGTTTTCAGAGCACGAATGCCTTCTTTGTATGTACATACATGTTGTGGTCGTTTCCAACTCTGGAAGCGGCCTCGTCCGATTTGGTTAAGCACGCCTTATCGGCGCGTAAAACATTGCAAACACCGACTACAATATAACCCTGTGCTTCTGCAATGGGTCTTGATGCTGATGATTCTTCAGTCGAGAAACCCTATGCCTAGACTGGGGCTTGATTAGGTACGTGATAAATTGAGCCTTGTCGCATGCCCACAGCTTCTAATAGGCGATTCCAGCACTCCCGAGCAGCAGATCAGAGCAATGACCTCCTGCCAGCAACGGAAACCAGGTTAGCCTGTAATTCATAGACCTTATGCAAAGACTCTTAATGACTGTCTTCTCGCAGACTGGAACGACAATGAGGATTTCTTTCGTTTCACCCGTGGTCGCTTTCTCCGCGACGAGGCACGTGAATTGTCCAGCCGTTACGTGAGATTCAACGTCAACGAGCTTGCACGAGTAGCGGCCCAAGCCACAGGTCACGGCTCTCGCCATTGCGTGAAGATAGAGAAGCTGGCAGATGGAATGCATAACAAGGCTCTCCTTTTGACAATGGACAACGGCTTGCAGGTTGTTGGTAAAATACCAAACCCAAACGCAGGAAGGCCGTATTTCACGACTGCCTCGGAGGTAGCCACCATGGAATTTGTAAGCTAACTAGTCTCTATCTATCTACTATTTCTCTCATACTATACTAACAAGGGTTCCAGATGAGAAATGTGATGGGGACTCCGGTGCCCAAGGTCCTCGCTTGGAGCGCGAAACGAGGTAGGAGCAGAATACATCGTCATGGAAAAGCTCAACGGTGTACCGCTCGATAAGCTATGGGAGAAACTCGATGTGGATGTGAAGTTCAAGGTGGTGAAAAGAATTGCCAAGTATCAAGAAGATTGGACGTCGACTTCCTTCTCCCGGTTTGGAGGACTGTACTATCGGAAGATCTTGGATCTGCCGCCTCCCCTTTGGTCTATACGGACAAGGAGGGAAGGCGAGTTACGGATGACCGTTTTGCTATCGGCCCATCGACAAGGAGACAGAATGTCGATGACGGCAGGATGGACGTCGACTTCGACAGAGGCCCTTGTGAGTATTTTTATTTCTCTGATATCGACATCCTTGTGCTGAGCTGAATCATTGCGCTGCCAGAGGGAACACCGCAAAAGAGTACGAAATGGCCCACTGGTCTTCGGGAAATTGCCTGTATTCAACAACTGGACCGACACCCCAATTCTCCTATCGCGCTCTATTGTCCTATCACGTATCAACCATCAAGGGAGAAGAAGCTTCGTGCGGCCGAAAGCTATCTGAGAATAGTAGATTACTTGCTCCCCGACGACGAATCCATCCAAACGTCTCATCTCTGGCACGACGACCTGCATACGGAGAATATTTTCGTCAACCCGGACGATCCTTCCGAGATCTACGGATTTATAGACTGGCAGTCAACTGAATTGGCCCCTTTGTATGAGCACACGCTTGAGCCCTACGTTCTTGATTATGACGGCCCGCCGGTGGAAGGACTGCTCGAGCAGCCGAGACTGGCCGAAGTCCAGAAGCTCTTTGATAACGAACCTGACCCGGTCTTGCGGAAGAGGAAGGCAGATTCATTATTTGTCAAGATGTCCCTGGTCTCCCTGTACCGACACCTGGTCCATAAGATTAATAAGCGATTGTTGAGAGCTCTCAAGTTCCGAGAGACGACCCGCTTTCAGCTCCTTCTCTTCGCGCGGAACCTTCTTGTGGACGGGGAGGCGACATACCTGGCTCTCCTGGCAGAGCAGCAGCAGCAGCAACAACAACAACAACAACAACAGAGCAGCAAAGATTTGCCCGGGACACGGGAAAATAGCAACCTCTTACCCTTCCCATTATTCTCCGCTGAGGAGCTCAAGACCATTGAGACGGACAGCGAGGGTGCAGCGCTGGCGATCAATCTGATGCAGGAAGTCCAAGATAGAGTCGGTCGGCAATTCTTTTCTGCACAGGGACTGGTCAGCCATGAGCAAGTCGACGGGGCCAAGAAGGCTCTGCGGGCAGCCAAGGAGGAGTTTGTGCAGAAGTACGCGCGGAACGAGAACGAAGTGAAGGAACTGGGAGAAGCGTGGCCGTTTGATGATTGATTGATACACCGAGAGGTGTGGAAATCAGCTCTGCCTTCTTACCTTCCTGCCTCTCTCTCTGCAATGATTTTGGATTTTGGGCTCATAATCAGTTTTACTTGATTTTTTCTTATGATTATGATTATCTCTACTATAATCATTGTCTTTTCTATTTCTCTCTCTCTCTTTTTTTCCCCTGAAGTCTATACTGTAGAGTCCAGGCTAGTCAACTAGGAGTTCTATTCAGTAAAAAAAAATACACTGATGATTTATTTCTGTCAAATATATACTGAAGCTACGAAAGAAAAAAGAAAAGAAACCATACGTCAGTATGTATGATGGATAGATTGCTGATGTATGATGCACGCACATTTAGCTAAATAAAGCGCAAGTGGAGGAGGATTTTTCTGTGCAGCGAACTAACTCTGAGATTCTTATGTCAGGAAGACTCGAGCTTGAGCAAGCGACGATTTATTTCCGATGTATTTGCTTCGCAAGGATGTATGTACTGGATGTACAGTGCATTACCTAGAGAAGTTGATGCCGATGGCAAGTGGACTGACAACAAGTAAATACATTCTACAATCGCATGTCTGTCTGGCGACGCTGGGCAGGGCCTTGACTGCACGTAATTTACTGTTTTCAGAGGAGAGATGACTAGGTAGTTTTTACGCCGACAGGTTGAATAAATAAATACTCTCTGGCTGCAGAATGCGTGGGTGGCTATCCGCCTATTAACTATATTGGTCAATTTAATTTCATGATCAATGAGATCACTGACTACTTTGTATGTATAGAATATAAGTGTCATCTAACATATATACCTTTAAACCAACCATAACAGACAGCTCTCTATATACAATAAAGTTTGTGCAACAGGGGTATAAGCACATGCCTCGTAAAATCCTTTTTTTTTTCGTCAACATCATCATGATTAATATTTCATTCTCTTTCCAATCTCACTCTCCCATCCACGCGCCTTCTCGAAGCCATTGCTGGCGGTTTGGAAATCGACCATGGCCTGGTACACCTCTTCCTGGCTGGTGCAGACAAACGGGCCGTACTGCACCACGTTCTGGTCCAGCGGCTGGCCGGCCACGAGGATGAATCGCGAGGCCTTGTCTGCGTTCTCCGGGACCGACGCTTCGACGTAGTCGCCCTGCTGCTGGAAGACGACGTTGTGGAACTGGTTGATGGGCTTGGTGACGTCTCCGGAGCTAATGTAGGTGGTGCCCTCCAGGGTGTAGGCGAAGGCATTCCATCCAATGGGTAGAATCTGCTTGACATGGCCGCCGGGACGGATGGTAATGTCGAAGAACCACAGCGGGGTGTAGGCCAGGTCTCGCACCGAGTCGACCCCGTGCGACTGACCCGAGATGACCTTGATGGTGACGCGTCCGTCGTCGACCTCCACCGTCGGGATCTCCGTCGCCCTCAAGTCCCGGTATCGCGGCTCGACGTACTTCAGCTTCTTGGGCAGGTCGACCCACAGCTGCATGCCCACGTTGGGGCTGCCATCCGGGTTCTCGTGCGGCATCTCCGCGTGCATGATGCCGCGGCCTGCCGTCATGAACTGCAGGTCGCCCGGACCGATGGTGCCCCTGTTTCCAGCGAAGTCTTCGTGGTCCACACCCCCGGAAAGGAGGTAGGTGATGGTCTCCTGGCCGCGGTGCGGGTGGTCCGGGAAGCCGGCGCCCTTGCCGATGGTGAAGTGATCCAGCATCAGGAACGGACTGAAGTTGCGCAGCTTGGGGGTCCCGATGGACCGGCGCACGCGCGCGCCTGCACCCTCGGCCTGCTCGATGGCCTGGAAGGCCATGCGGATCGCGCGGGCGGTGGCCATGTCGTCGAGTGCGGGGAGGTTCACTTCCAGGTTCAGGTTCAGAGGTTCAGAAGCAGTAACGACGCTGCTACTGTTCTGGGTCCGGAGGAAACGAGACAGTAGTAGTGGCAGTTGCTCGGAGATTCGACTCGAGAAGACGTCACTGCTGTAAGCGAAGATGACTGCAACGATGCAAATCAGCACAGACAGGAGGAGCTTCATGGACCGTGGCAGCGGGCGACTTTATAGTAAGACGACAGAACGGTCCATGAAGCAGGTAGAAGATTCCTGCAGTCAGTCGTCCATGGCTATTTCTAGTTGAATCTGCGAGGCCGATCTGTCTAATAATCCTGACAAAGATTCCCGTCAGCAGCCGCCATCCCGATCCGGCTTGGTCGATACCGTATTACCGCGCATTTCGCCCCGTTCGCTGTATTTAACGTCTCTGATTGGTGCTTGGCGTATGCATGTCATCGGATCGGCAAACGCGATTTGCCGAGTCGATGCCGACAGCTGGTTATACTCATTGTTCAACTAGAATTATTACTTGAATCTGACAATTGTTATGAAGCTAACATATAATCGAGAGAACTTTTGAGAATTTAACCAGAATGCAATCCTGACAGGAGAATCTACTCTGTGAACCTGAACCCTGCTTGCATCAGACCCCAATCATTTAGGAACAGATCTACCAATGTCAACATACTCAGAACGCACCTAAGCAAAGCTCGAATTAGTCTTTTTATTCTTTTTTTTCGTTCGCCCTGACGCACGCGATTGCTTACCTCCAAGCTCTCCCTGACAGTTATCACGCCAGGCCTGATCGCCGCAATGGATGGTGTATCTCCGCCGTGTCGCGTGAACATCGATCTGGAAGGCTTGCCTGCGCTAATCGTCGTCTCCAGCAAAGGATGACCTTGTTGATGAGCATATGCATATCTCTCGGTATACGTGCATGCACCGTCTTCGGTTTGAGAATTCCGGGTCTTGCGGTACATAATAGCAAAACCTGGTAAACAACCGACTACGACTGCTGCAGAGGCGAACGTCAGTCAGGTGCTTATTTGCATGGAAGGATTAACACAAGTGATAATATTTATTTTCGTGAAACGGCCTACCGATTCCCGCTTCGATCACGCCCCAGATCGCAAGCCATGGGGCCGTGGGAGTGTCTTCATTAGCCGCTAAACTGACCTGGGCCACTCGAACAATGGCCACGATGACGCAGATGATTCCGACGCAGAACACGCCGCCGATGCTGAGTTTCTGTTTCAGGGGTAGCTGCACTGTACAGATGAGTTTGAGTGGTAATATCATGACTAAAAGAGCCCCCTTTCGTGTTAGAATTTTAGCCCTCACGGAGCTGAACTGAAAGAAAAGATCGACTGACTCATGATGTCGCTCGTGACATCGACTGCGAATGGATAGTACAGGCTAACTGCCTGCGCGACAATGTCTCGATGGGTACTGCAGCTTCCTGGATAGTGTCAAGCCGTGCACCATTATTGATCAAGTAAGTGATGGAGGATTGATTCCTGACCAGGGGTGAAATAGTCACGCAGATTGCTACACCGGGCGAGAATGGAAATAATACAGCCGATGAAAGTCTGTGTCAGATAAAAGACATCGTTGGCGCTTAATTAGCAGCGACTCAGCATTGATGAAGGAATGGGATCACGAGTGCTAGTTACCGCGACAGCAAAGATGGCAACAGCCCACCACCACCGTCTATAGATACTAGACAGGCGTTTCAGCAGCCGCCGAAAGAGACACAGCAGCGAGGCCTTGACAGCCCAGAGGGTAAGCCACAGGAGCAGCGGGTTCGCAAAGGAGATCCGGAGCTGGAATTCGGTGTCTTGTTCCACAGCCGGATACGGGCGGCTCTCGCCCGTCATCACGCTCGCGACCCGGTATACAGCGGGCGTCACCACGATGGTGTTGATCGCGAGGGCGAGGAACGAGAGCCACGATACCAGGACAAAGAAATCCTTCAGCTGGAATCCACTTGCGCTGGAGGTCTTCTGCTTCCACACCTGTATTCCGAACCGCGATAGGCAGAAGATGGATGTAATCGCGATTGTTGCGTAGGCAGCTCCAGTTACTTGGTCTGCGGCGATATAGGCCTGCTCTGCCGTCATGCTCATGGTGATGGATAATCAATAGCACGGGATATAAAAAGCAAGTAGCAGCAGATTCGCTTCAAATACGATGCTTAAAAAAATTCCTTCTTTGGTTCTGCTTGCTGGTTTCATTCAATGTTCATTAAAAAAAAATTCTATATTCTGCGTCTGGGATATGTTCTATGACTCAATTTGATACATGATGACTGGAACGGTGAATGAGATTGTATAGTATATCCAATCTTATGTACATTGGTGAATATCGATAACCCCTCTCTGCCAGGATAGTAGGGAGCATCGCCAGCGTACCGATCCAGTGATTCATAGCATTGAAACAATTTTTGAAAGATGCTATGGCCGAGAAACGAAATATCTCACTCTCCTCGCAATGCTGGTAGTATGTGATGATGGTCGGTCATGACGTTCTATCATACCTGTATAGTACATCACGTGACACTGACTCGATGATTCGCCAGATGCCACTACTTCCCCGGCCTTGCTTATCTGTTAACTTCTCCGAAGTGGCTTCATGTGCCGTCAAAGGAGAAGTGAAGCACCGGACTGTTTCTGCAAACTGGACATGCTGTCGTCAGTGCCGTTCTGATTTCCTGGCCTTACCCTACAGCCTGCCCACTTCTCGACTCGACTCATGGATTCCTTGTTCCCAGCATCTTAACGGCGTTCCGCAGCTCTCACATGCAGGGATAGCTACCACGAAGACGCACAGCCGCGCCACAAAGGAAAAGAGGTGAAAGAAAGCAGGTAGTCATGAAGCGGTTAGCACCGCTCTTGCTCCTGGCGTCGCTCGCCGCGCCAGGTGCTCTAGCTGCTCGAAAACCATTCAGCATCCACGATGATGTTTTGGCATTTCCGCAGGTAATTTAAATTACTTTGCTACCCCCTGGCAGACGCAGGCGCCTCCTTTTTTGTCGAGATACTGACTGGTATCTAGTTTGATGTCGTCTTTCCGGAGGAATATATCCTAGAGTCCGAAGCGGCCGCGCGATTGCGGGCCCAAGACCAATCTTCACATCGTCGAGATTTGGACAGAGCTTCGCAGAAGCCGTTGGGAACACACGGAAAAGGCAAGGACAGCGCAAACCCCGAGAGGGACTCGGAATCCGCGCCGGATGAGTTTACCTACGAGGAGATGATCCTTCGCGGCCAGCGATATCTCTGCCAGATACCCAAGGTCGATGTCCTGTCGAATACGACCGCTGAGGCAGAGCAGCACGCCGCCGGCAACAAGACGGAGCAGGAACTCGAATTGGCGCGCGCGACAGATCGAGGATTGGAACTTCTCAAGGACATGGAAGGAACATGCATGTACTACGTGTCCGGCTGGTGGTCCTACTCATTCTGCTATAAGAAGCAGGTAAGGCAGTTCCATGCGCTCCC